GAGAAGGGTGCAACAATGAATGAATGGAATCCCAAAATCTCTGTAGATGTTCATTGAAATGAAAAATAAACAACCTAAATTAAAAAAATGTGTAAACAGTTTGAGGATAAGATAATGAGTAAAAGCTGTACAATGCAAAGACATTTGACTGTGTGGATCACAACAAATTATGACAAATGATAAGAAGATCAGGAATCCCAAAATACTTAGACCAAGAAGCTATTGTCTGAACAGAGCAAGGAAACACTGCATGGTTCAAAGTTAAGAAAGGAGTGTATCGGGATGAATCCTACCTCCATCGTTTTTCAGTCTATATGCGGAATTGATCGTCTGGGAGACTGGACTTTATGAGGAGAAATATGGCATCAGGATTGGAGGAAGAACATCAAGAAAACAAAAGATCCTCACCCCTGGGCCAATAGGCAGTATCATGGTTGATGGAAAAAGCTTTGAGGTTGATAATTATTTCACCTTGCTTGGATCTACAATCAACTCTCTTGGCACCAACAGTCAGGAAACCAAAAGGTGAGTTGCATTGGGAAAATCTGTCAGAGTTCTCTGCAGAATACTAAGGAACAGAGGTTCTCAGATGAAGAGGAGTTTTTCCTTAGGATAGAGTTTAAGATTGGCATTAAGACTTCTGAGGTGCTATAATGTGGTTAAAGGGACATGAATTTCTGGGGGACAAAGAGTGGAATGCTGTGGATTAAATTGTGTACCCCCAAAGGATTGGTGGAAGATCTATTAACAATCTGCGTTATGCAGATGACACAACCCTGCTTACTGAAACTGAGGAGGACCTGAAATGCTTGCTGCAGAGGGTTAAGGACTGCAGCCTTCAGTATGGATTGAAGCTCAATATCAAGAAGACAAAGATTCTCAACACTGGACCAATTGGCAGCATCAGGTTGATGGTGAAGAGATTGAGATTGTTAACAACTTTAGTCTCCTTGGCTCCACGATCAACACTCTTGGCACCAGTAGCCAGGAAATAAAAAAAAGTATTGTGATGGGAAAGTCTTCTGTTAGGGACCTCTCCAGGGTACTGAAGAGCAATGGTGCCACTCTGGAGACTAAGGTGCATCTGACACAGGCTATGGTCTTTGCAATCACTTGTTATGCATCAGAGAGTTGGACAATGACTAAGGAGGATAGAAGGAGAATTGATGCCTTTGAGCTGTGGTGCTGGAGAAGAGTATTGGATGGACCCTGGACTGCCAAGAAAACAAACAGATTCTTCCTGGAGAGGGTTAAACCAGGCTGCTCCTTGGAGGCAAGGATTCTGAGGCTCCGTCTAACATACTTTGGACATGTTGTAAGGAGGGAGAGGTCCTTGGAGAGGGACATCATGCTTGGGAGGGTGGAGGGATGGCGCAGAAGGGGAGGACCCTCTATGAGGTGGATTGATTCAGTGACTGGGGTAATCGGGATGGGAGTGTCAGAGAGAGTGTGATTGGCACAGGACAGAGCAGGGTTTAGGGCTGTTGTACATAGGGTTGCTATGAGTTGCAAATGACTCGATGGCATATAACAACAACAACAACCCCCAAAGGAGCTTTGGTGGCTTAATGGTAAGGAATTGTGCTACCAACACAAAGATATGTAGGAGAAAGATGAGCAATTTAGAACGTTGAAAACCCACTGTAGGCTCAGCTGTGACTCAGTTCTGGTTTAGTGGCAATGAGAACGAGCCTGCTAAGCTGTGAGAAAATGGATTTCTGTTCATTACATTGTAGTTTATTAACTAAATTTTTATTTTTTAATGTCATCCGTTTGTGATGTCTCTGTGACTAAATAGCTAAGACTATACCCATTGTAATTATTGCTGGGAAAGCCTACTTTCTAAAAAGGAATATTTTCTTCACCTTGGGTTCTGTATTATGTGAGGGAGACTGCGCCCTTCCAGGTCCAATTTTTGGGATTTGCTGAATCATATTCCTTAAAAATGTCATTGTTTGTCCTATGATGGAATAGTCATTGAATTTTGTTTTATTTAGAATCCTAAAATTGACAGTTTTTCAGAGAGAGGACACAAACCAGACACCATCAAAGTGAATCTGGAGTTCTGTGATGTTCATTTTTCTTATCCATCTCGAGCTAATGTCCAGGTACAGTAAGTACATTTATAGGAATTCATTGCTCAGGATGACTGCTAAAGTTATCTTAAATGTCTGTGCTAGTCTGGTGTTTATATGCTATTTCCTTTTAATGTCTATATTCCTTTGTTTCATACTTCTTCAAATTTGAAATTTAATTCATTCACTCCATTTAAAAACTTGGTTGTGAGATGTGTTCCTTTTTCTCACTTATTCTGATAGATCTTGAAGGGCCTCAACCTGAAGGTTCAGAGTGGGCAGACGGTGGCCCTGGTTGGAAACAGTGGCTGTGGGAAAAGTACCACCGTCCAGCTGATACAGAGGCTCTATGACCCTGATGAGGGTACGGTAAGTGGGGAGAACCCAGTTTTCCAGAGTGGGAATCAGAGGGTCAAGTTGCCCTTTAAAATCAGCCCTTTTTAGCAACAAATTTGCATGTGAATCCAGTTTCAATTGGAATGCAATGCAGTCATCCTTTTGAACTGGCTTAACCAATGTATTCAGAGTGATAAAAAGCCACAGAAGACAGACAACACTCTACTATTCTGACCAAATATTTCATAACTCATCAAATCACAGGGAAATGTAGTCATTCAAACCACTGAAAGGATTATATCCAGTGGGATTTCAAGACAAAATTGCTGACAAGTTGGTAATCTGGGTCACAAGAAATTTTGGTATTAAATATTGGAATAACTTAAAACAAACAAACAAACAAAAAATCCTAATGGCTTTCTAGAGGGGGGCAATAGGATAGTCTCAAGAAAGTTCTGGGAACACTGACAGGCATGGTAAATACATAGGGTATATACATTTTTTTTTATTTATTTACAGATGTTTGTTACAGATTTAAACTGACTGGAAAGTTGCAAGCAAGAAATTCACAAATACCTTTCCCTCAGATATCCTAATGGTTTAGAGTTTGTCTGCTTTACTGCATATGTGTTTGTATTCTCTCTGCTCTAACACTCTCTCTCTTTATAAGCAGGGACCGAAAGATACAGATACATATAAAAATGTGTGTGTATATATATTTTTTTCTGAACCTTTGAGAGTATATTGGAAATAGCATACCCATTGCCCCATATATATTTTCCAAGAACATTCTCTTACATAATTATAGAACAATTACCAAAATCAGGAATTCTGACATTAAAACTAGTTCATAGTCTATATTAAGATTTTTCTCAGTTGCCCCAAATTTAGGAGATTGACCTTAATTCATGTATTATAATAATTCAACAATTGTGAAAACAGAAGTTTACGAGGAGAAAAAAATTCAGAAAAATGTTTAAAAACAATACAATGAAATACATTTCATAAATAAATACAAGCTTTTCTAGGATATATGAATTATTGATATATTTGTTTTAATAAAGTTAATAAGTATTCTTGAAAATAGCTGTTATTACTGTGGAGGAATGAAGGTCATAATCTACTAAAACTTTAGACTATTTCAAATGCATACTTTTTTTATCTTAAAAATAATTAAATAGCAACCAGAGGCTAAGTACTTAAAAACCTCTCACTGCTTTTATTATTATTGTTGAAATAATATTTGTTTTGTTAGAAAATGCACATATCAGCAAAAAGAGGTTTTAAACAAGAGTTACTTTTCATATTGTGATTTAACAATTGTCTTACCACTAAAGTAATAGAAAAAAAATGCCCAAAGCCATGGCTAGCTCATTCAGATTTTTTCCTTAAATCTCTCTCCAGTGAGCATCAGTGAAATTTTTTGGTAAAAGTTTCAAAAACTCTTCAGTCCTACCTATAAAGATATGCAAATTGAAACAAATATAAACTACCGTCTCATACCTAGTATAAAAAAGACACAAAAATGCTAAACTCACGGCTGGTTGAATCACAATGAAATATGTATATGTTCCTGTTGTCATTGCAAAGTGAATCTTTTTAGCAAATTTATTAAGCCTTTATTCCACAAATAATAAATGTCCAATATATGCCAATCATTGTTCAGGCTAGCAGTCATTCTCAAAGGGGAAAAAGAAATCATACTCTTCATCTGACTATCTACTTTTGCAATGAATTCTGAAGGACATTAAGTGTCAAGCAGGTAGAAAATGCGAACGTAAATTCTGCTTTACTAAATACAGTAGGCTATCATGATGCTATCAAAAGTGTTGTTGGGTGCTGTCAGATCACTTCAGCTCATAGTGACTCTGTGTACGGGATCACCGTCCTGTCTTGTCCTGCACCATTCTCTGTCTGCTCTGATTAAGCCTGTTCCTGTAGTGACTGTATCAGTCCACCTCAGTGAGGGTTGTCCTCTCCTTCCCTGAGCTGCTTTTCCAAGTATGAGATCCTTTTCCAGGGACTCGCCCTTCATGATAACATACATTAAACAAAACGATGTGTAGACTACGGAAATAATTTTGTTTTGGTAAATAACATATAATGTTGTTTACTGTCAGGTCAGAACTGACTCATGGCTGACCCTCTAGCAGAGGCTGTAAATCACATGAGAGGAGATTACCATTTATTGATAATCATTTATTTAAGACAAAAATACTCTAGCATAATAAAAATCAGAAAAGTGTACGATGTTTTCTTTTTGGTTTTGTAGGTTGTGGTTTATTTCTGGTAAACACTTCTAACTTAAATTAAAGGAGAATGTAATCTGTCAATCTGCTAACCAAAAGATAAGTAGTTCAAATCCACTAGCCACTCAATCAGGAGGAGATGAGCATTCTTTTCCTGTAAAGATTTACAACCTTGGAAACCAAATACAAAGTCTTAGAATCAGAACTGACTTGACAGCAGTAGGTAACTTTAATTAAGTTCATTATTAACTAAGATGACTTCTTTTTCTGACAAAGAATCCTGATGCTTTAGATAAAAGTTCTGGTGGCATTATGCATTATTACATGATATTCTACTAAGCAAAAAGTCAGAAGTTGGAATCCACCAGTCACTTCTTGGGAGAAAGAGTTTCCGCCTGTAAAGATTTACCACCTAAGAAACCTGATGGAGGGTTTCTTTGTGTTGAACTCACAGTGGTGGGTTAGGTTTTAATTTGGATGCTTTAGATTTCAGATGGTTTAAAATATTTCATCTTTCTTTCAGATTAACATCAATGGGCAAGATATTAGGACTTTCAATGTGCGCTATCTGAGGGAAATCATTGGAGTGGTGAGTCAGGAGCCAGTGCTGTTTTCTACCACAATTGCTGAGAACATCCGCTATGGCCGTGAAAATGTAACCATGGAGGAGATAAAGAAAGCCGTAAGAGAAGCCAATGCCTATGACTTCATCATGAAACTTCCACAGGTAGAGGCTCTGAAAATGTAGTCATTATTGGAAAAAGAATTTCACCTCAGATGTCAGTTCTTAAAGATTAAGCTAATAATGTTTTAGATGAAAGGTTATCCGACAATGATAGTTAAGTTCCTGGAGTTATTCAGTCTGGAGGGTAAGGAATACAACTTGGTTCATGAGTAGTATAACATTTATTCAAAATATGTGATTAACTTTCATAATTCAGTACACCTTTATTTTATTCTAATTTATGATCCATTACAATGGTCAAAATAAAGCTGCATCATGTCACATGTTGTCTTCATTAAATACTATAAACTCCGTATCTTTTCTACTTAAAGTATTACAAGGGTCAGCATTTTCTTTTGTAGAAATTTGACACTCTGGTTGGGGACAGAGGGGCCCAGTTGAGTGGTGGGCAGAAACAGCGAATCGCCATTGCAAGAGCTCTGGTTCGAAATCCTAAAATCCTCCTCCTGGATGAGGCCACATCAGCCTTGGACACTGAGAGTGAAGCTGAGGTGCAGGCAGCACTGGATAAGGTCAGTGGACCCTAAATGCTAATTGTAACTTTGTTGAAAATTCTTCCAGTACTTTTAAAAGTGAAACCAAGTAGAGCTTTCTCATGAATGCAGCATGTAGATTTTTTCTTCTTTCTAACATGTTACATTATCTGTGGATAGTCTAGTAATTGGCTTGCTTTGACCACGAGGCTGTGACAAGTCTCTCTCTTTCATTGTATGCCATAAAGTATAGTTAATTAATGCTTGACATATCCGTTTAACATTTTAATTCATCTTACATATCTAATGGAATAATGATTAGTGACATGATCCTAACTCATAAAAAACCCAAGCCCTCTATTAGCTCTGTTGAGTTTACAAGGCTGTAAATTATGACAGGGACTGGCTGGTAGATTTTTAACTGCAGACCTTTCCGTTAACAACCTGTAATGTTACACCTCGTATATAAATTCTTATATTGAATAATAAATACTCTTCTGTGGACATTAAGTCCTAATATTAAGGATACAAGTGAAGTTTGCACAACATGAAAGTTATTAATGTCTCTGAATTATACATGTAAAAATTCTTAAATGGGCATGTTGTTGTTGTTGTTAAGTGCCGTCAAGTCGCAGGTGACTCACAGTGAACCTATGAAGGAGAGTCCTTGACGCTTGGGTGCCTTTCATCCTCTCTCCAGGTTCATAGGGTTTCCGGAGGCAAGCTGTTATGGAAGTGGATGCCACTCCTCCTTCCAAAAATGGGCATATGCTCTATAATTTTATAGATATATAATATATATAAGATACATGTCTCTCTTTCTCTGTGTGTGTGTGTGTGAGTGTGAGAGTGTGTGTGTGTGTGTGTGTGTGTGTAGAGAGAGAGATGCATTGCATTGGAAAACTGGGGTCAAGGACGTCTCCAAAATATTTAAGAATAATGATATCACTTTAAAATCTAAGGTGTACCTGCTTTAAGGCACAGTCCTTTAAATCATTTACTATGTATCTAAAAACTGGACAGTGAATAAGGATGAGAGAAGCATCAGTGCCTTTGAGTTATAGTGTTGCAGAAGAGTACTGGATATCTCATGGAGTGCTCCTTAGGGACAAAGATGACAAGTTTATCTCACGTATATTGGACATGTTGTCAGGGGGCCAGTCCGTAGGACTTGGACATGACTCTGGGAAAAGTAGAGGGTCTGAGAAGGAAGAAGACCTTGCACAGTATGGATTGACAGAGTACTGTTATCAGTAGGCTCAGGTATATCAGAGATGATGAGGATAGCCCAGGAGAGGGCAAGGTTCAGATCTGTGGTTCATAGGGTCACTGTGAGCTGTAGTTGACTCAGTGGCACTTGGCAACAAGTTCACACACACACACTTACAGACATGCACATACTTGGTTATATCTTGCACTGCCAGTCCAGGTCTGAGATTTCTCCAAGGAAGAAAGATGTGGTGTCCTCTTGTCAAGATTTACAGCTGTCTTAGAAACCTCAAGCAGCAAGCACTTCAAGTCCTCCTCACTTTGAGCAAACAAGGCTGTGTCAGTCTGCATGACACAAGCTGTTGATTAGTCTTCCTCCAATCCTGATGCCACGTTCTTCTTCACAGAGTCCAGCTTCTTCAAAGATCCTCTCAGCATACAGATTGAGTAGGTATGGAGAAAGCATACAGCCCTGCTGCACATCTGTACTAATTTTAAACCACGCAGTGCTCCCTTGTTCTGATCAGACAGAAGCTTCTTGGTCTGTGTATAGGTTTCACATGAACATAAAACTGCTAAAGTCAAAGATGAAGATATTGAGGATTTCTACAACTTTTGCAGTCTGAAATTCATCAAACTAGCAATAAAAATGCATTAATAATAATTGGCAACTGGAATGCAAAAGTTGGAAACAGAGAAGTGGTAATTAGAAAATACAGATTTGGTAATAGAAAAGAGACTGAAGATCAAATGATAGAATTTTGTATAACAAGTAATTTATTCATTGCAAATACCTTTATTTTAAAAAAAAAACAACCATAAACAACTATTCACATTACCTCACCTGATGGACTCCACAGCAATCAAAGACTGTGCCTTATCATAATCAGTAAAACACAATTAAACATGCTTTTTATATTCTCTACTTTTATCCAAGATCCATCTGACATCAATAATGATATTCCTCATGCCACCGACTCTTCTGAATCCAGCTTGAATTTCTTTTTTAATAATCTTCAGCAAGAGTTTACTTGCTTATGATATTGATGATATTGTTTGATAATTTCCATATTCTGTTGGATCACCTTTCTGGGGAAAGGGAACAAATACAGATTTCTTCCAGTCAGTTTACCAGGTAACTCTTCCAAATTCCTTGGCATAGACGAATGAGCATGTCCATGGCTACATCTGGTTGCTGAAAGATGTTGACTGGTATTCCATAAATTCCTAGGGCTTTATTTTTTTCCCCAATACTTTCAATAAAATCTGAAATTCTTCCTTCATTGCCATTGGTTCTTGATTATGTATAGCTTCTTGAAATGTTTCTGTGTTGGCCAGTTCTTCTTTGCAGGGCGTCTCTGTGTATTCTTTTAATCTTTTGATATTTCTTGCATCAGTCAATATTTTGCCATAGAATCTTTCATATTAAAAATTCATGGCTTAAATTTGTTCTTCAGTTCTTTCATCTTAAAAAATGCTGACCATATTCTTCCCTTTTGGTTTTCTAACTCTGGTTCTTTGTTTATTTTGTTAAAATACTTTGCTTGGTCTTCTTAAGCTATCCTTTGAAATCTTCTGTTCATTTCCCTTCAGCATTTCTTCTTTTTTGTTTTGGCCCCTTTACATTCTAGTGCGATTTTCAGGGTCTCTTCTGATACTGGTTTTGATCTTTGCCTTCTCCCCTGTCTTTGTAATGAATGATTTTTTGTTTTCTTCATGAATGATAGTCTTGATGCCATCCCACAACTCTTTAGAGCTTCAAAATATCCTTAAAGAGACACAATTCACTCTATACAAGAAAATAAAGAATAGATTTCAAAATGGAAATTTTTCATTTCTGTGCTCCCTTCAGTAATATCATCATATAGTCAACCAGTCAATCTAAGTATAAATCAGCTTTCTCTCTGACGATGAAAATATTAAGTTTACAACTTAATATTTTGCTTCTGAGAATCTTGAGAATATTCTACTAGGATTACTGTTGTTAGTTGTCTCTGGAATAATAGTACTTTTCTTTTGTTGAGCCTTTATTTGTTTATTAATACCTCATGTGTGATACTGACTTAATGTGGTTGTTTATGTACATGTTTTCTCTCTGCTAAAACAAACTCCCATAGGATACAGAATCAACAAATAATTAATCTTTGTATCTTCAGACTTCACCAATGTCTTAAAACATATAGTCTAAATAAATCTTTACTGAATTGAATATCTTAGTATTACTAATTGATAATATCTCTGTACACACACCCAACCCAGTAATTACTTGTAAAAAGAGTGTAGTGGATGTGTAGGCAGCCTTGTTTGATCCCCGTTAATTCCATAAGTGGGCATAGTCCCCATCCACAACATCTGTAGTGCAAAATTGATTCCTACGAGGTTAGACATGCCACTATGTTCTTACACCTACTTCTATCAATTCTAACACCAACCAGCTCTTCTAGGATTCTCACTGCTCTGCTACTGGGTCCACTAATCTGTTTCATTGGCCACACAGAATTCACAGTTGGTAGGGTTTATTAGGAAAATTAAACAGTTACAATTCACTTTTTGGAACAAGATAAAAGTCTTCGGTCAAGAGTTTTTCAGGCATGTTTGCAGGCTTGTTGACCACCCTCTCAGCTCTGGGTCAATGTTATATACAGTTCTTTCAGTCTTGCTGATTTTGGCATCTCCCAACCCCGGTCATCTAGTTACATTTGGGTGAAGACCCTGAGCTCTGACTCTGTAGGGCAGCAATACCAGTTCAGCTCTGGCTCTCATTGGTCTCTGGCTCTCTGCTGTTACTGCTCTTCTCTTCGAGGTGCCAGTTTGACTCTCACAGGAATTTTTTATTCAGATGGATATATGTTGGATTCTCTGATTCTTTTTTCTTGCTGGAAATGAGATTCTTGTTTTCTCCCTCTAATTCTGCTCCATTTAAGCCTGACAGGATGAATAGTCAAGCCAATCCCCTCTTTGGCACTCTAAATACCTTGTTTGCATGTTACCACCCAAAAGGAGATAATCACGTTATTCATATCATTAGCATAGTTCTACCCGGTTGTGTGGTAAAAATCAAAGCCAATGAGTTTGGAAAGCCATTTTGACTCTTGTTAATTACTGATAAATAAATAGCAACTATTTACCAAAATAAATACTATGCTTGTTAATATAAGATTGTTGTATATTGAACATTGTGTGATTGTCATCTTTTGAACTGTGTTCTTACAAAATATATGGCTAGGCCATGATTCTCAGTGATGTAGTAATTGTGTAATGATGTGTGTAATTTGGCAGTTACAGAGTGATATGATTACACACATGATGTAATCGGGTGTGATTAGCCAAATATGTTATAAAGGAATTAGGGTAGGATGCAACACCCTTATTCAAATCATATACCTGATCTGATTTCATCTCACAGGAGTTTCCTTAAGATGTGGTCTGTGCGACCTTTAATCTTATAAGAGATAAAAGGATATAGAAGTGAACAAAGAAAAAGGGTTATCTTACAACTAAGAAAGAATCTGGAGCAGCGCAAGTATTTTGTACCTGGGTTCCCTGTGCTGAGAACTTTCTAATCAAGGGAAGATTGATTCCTGGACACATGGGGATCTGCAAGGAACACCAGGGCCACTGATACTAAAAGGGCATAAAGAGCTCCCCTCCCCCACCAAGCCCAACAGGGGAGAAGACTTTCCTCTAAAACTAGTACTTTGAATGCAGGCTTTTAATCTCTCCCTAAACTGTTGAGAAAATAAATTTCTGTTTGTTAAAACCATCCATGTATGGTATTTCTGTTATAACAGCAGTAGACAACTAAGAGAAATAAGAAGAAATATGACAGCAGATTTTATAATTTCTTTAAAAGAAATAATGACAAAGTTTTATACATTCACACATACCCTATCTCATAGTGTTAGAGCAGTAGATGGGCAAGAAAAGAATCAAAAGGTAGCTTTTGGCTATCCATGATGATTTTCATGAAGTGAATACAAGTGAATTCATTTCAATGCATCTTCACAGAAGTTTCAAGAGAGTTAAAGGATTTGTATTCCTTTTTTATAGGATTGGCTTTCGTTACATCCGAAAATATAGAAGGTCCAAATTTCTTAACAGTCGGTGTCTTTGTCTCTAAGATACTTATTTTGCCAATATCTTGTCATCATTGTGGTATCTGATTGCTCTGGGGGAAAATATCTCTTTGTGTTGAAACTCTACTCTGCCTTAGAGTTCTTCATCAGGGATGAGAGATACCACCTCTTGAAGCCATAGACACAGACTTTGTTTTCCTACATTCCTGTTCTTCAGTCACAAGTCAATTTTAATTTTCTAATACAAATCTGTTAACATGGGTGCTCTGTTGGTCTAGGAGTAAGGAGCTGTACAGCCAACCAAAAGGCAGGTGGTTTGAATCCACCAGCTTCTCTGCAGGAGTCTACTCCCACATGATTTACAGCTCCTGACAACCAGCTCAATTGTCAGCTCTGAATCAGTATATAATGACAATAGTCTACTAACATAACATCAACTTACCGTTATCAAAATAGCAACATAATCACTAACAGCACTTTACTCATCACTGTTATTATATGAATATTGTTCATTAATCAAAGTATTTCCTATATGCTTTACCATATGTAGATCAAGCTATGCCATGTCCTTATCAGTAAATATATATGAATGCTTCCTGTGGACCTATATACTGAGAGGTGTGTTTTGGCCTAACCTTCCTAGTGTGGCCTATCAAATTACAATGAAAATCTGGCCCTTCCACAAGCCTTCTAAGAATTTTCCTGGAGAAGGCTATCACTTGGCAACAACATCCCTAAGATGTTTTTCATAAACTGTCTTACATACCATCTAAGTAAAAACTAAAGGATACAAGTAGTAGTGAAAACACTTAAGAAGGATCAAATCTTTGCCTCTCTTGAGAAAATACTGACTGCTGGAGGCTGACTGAGTTATCTGTCCTTGGACTGAAGGAGCTGGCTACCAGGCTGGTTCAGAACTCAAGTCAGCCTTAAACATTTCTGTAGAAAAATGATGGGTTTGCCTTAATTGACTGGAGATCTGGAGGATGAGCGACTTTTGAATCACCCTCAAGCATGTATTTAAATGCGTACGTGTACAGGTTACTTTACAGTGTGTCAGTACGATGAGCAAGCTTTTTCCTCTGTAGGCCAGAGAAGGCCGGACCACCATTGTGATAGCACACCGACTGTCCACGGTCCGAAATGCTGATGTCATTGCTGGGATCGAGGATGGAGTTGTTGTGGAGCAAGGCAGCCACAGTGAGCTGATGAAGAAGGAAGGGGTGTACTTCAAGCTTGTTACCATGCAGGTACATGCTTCCCACTTCTTTTTCTTGTTGGTTTCTCAACACGATATTCATTAGGTTACAAAATTTGATGCAGCCAATACCAGACTGAGAAATCAGCAACTTCAGGATGGTTGAAAGTAAAAATCTGAGGCTTTGCTTCAGAATAAGTGAATGAATACATGAAAGAGAGGAATGGGGAAGGTGGTGAGAAGTGTTGAGATAAAATGTCAACAGATTCCATAGGATACTTAATTACATGAGGAATATGCAAATTAACAGCTCCTTCCCACCATGAGAAGAGGGACTGACAGAAGGAGAGAGGAACGTCAGGCTCTATAGTGGTTTGTGGAGGTCCTGAGTGCTTGGAAAATTCTCCCCAGATATTGTTAATATGTCTGACAGCAAGATTCCTGACTTTCAAAGAATAGTTTTATTTTCTTCTGGTTTGTTTCTCTAAATGCTGATCAATATTGATTTATCTTATTAGTGAAAACTAGGGAGCTCTGGTGGCTTAGTGGTAAGGAACAATGCTGCCAAATCAAAGGTGTATGGTTCAAATCCACCAGCTGCTCTGTAAGAGAAGGGTGGGCATTCTTCCCTTCTGAAATTTACTGCTTCTAAAAACTTACTGGTGGGCCAGCGATGGGTCAATTCCAATTCCATGGTATAACAGTTCCAAAAATGGCATTTTCTTTTTTTGCTTAGCCACTTGACTATACACCTGGGATGGCCACTTTCCTGCCTAGCTTGTTTTTGTGTCAATCAAAGTATGCCCCTCTACGTCCATCAGATCTTAAATTGGGGAACTGACAAAGGGATATGACCTTTTTTATATCATATTAAGTTTTGTAAGAGTGCTCAATAATAAATACATAATTTCTTTTTTTCATGCATTAAGGGGACAGTATCCTGCTTTGTTCCTTGCAATGCCACCTGGTTTTTTCTGCCATAAAGAAACTCTAAAATTGTGTCTGATTAGATTATTAACCTTCTTCTCCATGTCTTCAGGATGTGAGAAAAGATATTCACCCATATTTTCTTTCAGCATTTATTGTATGGCTTGCTACAACTGGATCTTTGAGTCTGCTGAAATTATATAAGAGTAATAAATGAAGGCTAGTGGTTTTCAATGTATACTTTCTTTCACCTGGTGGGCAGTGGCTATGCTGGCTTTAGATCTCAGGTGAAGCTCACACAGCTTCTAAACAAGTGCTTTACATGAGGCACAGGGCGCTTTGGTGGTCCATAGCGTGGTGTGCTGTTAATCCAGGGGCTGAGAGTCTCCCGGTTTAAATAAACCAGCAGCTCAGGGAGCAAAAGGTGAGCAGTCTCCTCCCCTTGGGATTTATGGTTAAGAGTCAGAACCAACGTTGTGTTAAATAAGTCTGAAAAATAATATTGTGCTCATTGGGAGGGGGTTGGGGGATGAAGTGGGCTAGTTGGGAAAACTGTTTATTGTTATGAACCCCTTAAATAAGATTACAAAAAGGACAAGAAATAAATGTGAATCTGACTTAGCTTGGTCTAGATTTTGGGGAGTCATGCTTGAGCAAATAGTGGAGAACAGGAAAAAACTTTTGAGCTCTAGCCTGATTTGAGCAGAGCTGCCTTTAGAAAGGCTTATTTGGTGGCAGTGTAGGAGTGGACAGAAGAGAACGCAGGGGGTTGGTTACAGGAATAAGTTTCTACTTTAAATTTGGCTTCATTGGGAAGATAGTATAAAACAGTTTCGATCATATGTAGTGTGAGGAAATCCACCAAGAAGAACAGTCTGTGCTGGGTGGTTGAAGGCACTCACAATAAGACTGGTGAGGTATGTAAAATGCCCCTTGAAAGCTTGGCACACACAATGTGCAGTGATCAAGACACATAGCTACTGTAGATGCAGTTAGAGACTAGCTGTAAGCTTGGGTTCAAGGGCAGGGCCAGTAGAGGAGGAACAAGGATAAGATATCACTGTGTAAAGCTTTGAGCTTTGGTGGCGTAGTCCATAGGGAGCTGCACTGCTAATCCAAAGGTGATGCCTCTCTAGTCGTTTACATCCATCAGTGGCTCCAAGAAAGAAAGATGGGCGGTCTCCTCTCATGTGATTTACAGCCTCCAGAAAAGCCACTGAAGTTCATTCTGACAGGACAACAGTGAGAAAGAAAGATCCCTGGTGCTATACTGTATAGTGCATTATTCTCCTAACCAAAAGGTAACCAGTTCAAGTTCACCAGCTGCCCCATGGGAGAAAGATGGGCAGCCTCTTTTCATAAGGATATACACCTTCAGAAACCCCGTGAGGGTCTGAACAAGCTCAACAGCAAGGGATGTGTCTGCTGCTTCCTTCTATGGTAGTCATGACTTGTTCTCTGGATTCTTGCATATTAGGGACATTGAAACATACTCAATGGATTATTGAAATTTTATCTTTCAATTTTTTAAGTATACATTTTACATAAATTCCAGTTCTCATATTATTCAAATGTAATTTAACTTTGTCATTTTCAGCCCCCTTTCACTTCCATGTGTTGGTAGACTTCTTTGTCATTTTCTAGCTAACCTTGATTGAGAGAAGCTGCTCTAGAATCTAAAATATTTTGACACATGTAATATTCAAAACTACTCTAGAGTTCTAAACTGGAGGTCTACATATATTTGAATATTTAAACAATTGAATTGTTTGGTATTTAAACAATTGTTCTTTCAGACTTCAGGAAATGAAATCCAGTCAGAAGAGTTGGACATAGATCTAAATGATGAAAATGCTGCAACTGGTATGGCCCCAAATGGGTGGAAAGCTCGCTTATGCAGGAACTCTACTCATAAAAGCCTTAGAAATTCTCGAAAGCGTCAGAGTAACTTCGATGAGGAAACCAATGAACTTGTAAGTTGTGATTCACTTAAATCCAGTCTTTTCCTTTTTATTGCTCTGCTGTTGGAATTACCAATCTCCGTTAGGTATAGAGCATTCCTAGAAGTAGCAGTTTTGTTATTGTTAGGTGGTGCTGTGTGGGTTATGACTCATAGCAACCCTTTATACAACAGAACAAAGCCTGCCTGGTCCTGCACTATTTTCAGGTTCATTGCTATGTTTAAACCCATTTTGCAGCCACTTTACCAATCCACCTTACTGAGCTTCTTCCTGTTTCTTGCTGAGCCTCTACTTAATCAAGTTTGTTGTCCTTCTCTAGGGTCTGGTCTCTCCTGACAACATGTCAAAAGTTTTTCATTATCTCTTGTAAGGAACATTCTAGCTATACCTCTTTTAAGACAGATTCTTCTTCTTTTTTTAATTTTTTATTTATTTTTTTTAAAATTTGTGTGTGTGTGTGTGTGTGTGTGTGTGTGTGTGTGTGTGTGTGAGTGTACCGTCAAATCAGATCTGACTGGTACAGGAGGAAATTGTCCCTCCTTCCCCGGCAGAGCATCTGGTGGATTCGAACCGTGCGACTCTGTAAAACAGATTTCTTTAGTCTCTTTCCAGTTCACAATATAGACAATATTCGTTATCAACATCAAATTCAAAGGCATTTTAGTCAAAGGCCATTAATTTTTCTTTTTATTCATTTTCCATCTTTCATGTGACTATAAGAGGACTGAAAACTAGTATGGCTTGGGTCACATACATTTTAGTGCTCAGAATGTTTGTTGCTTTTTTTAAATACAACTTTGCTTGTTGAAAATAGTAAGGGCTTGAAACACCTCCTGATGATACATATCAAACACTATAGTGTTCAGTATGGATCACAGTACTTCAGCATAAATAAAACAGAAATCCTAACAACTGACCAATAACAACATCAATATAAACACAGACAATTATTGAGATTATCAAGAATCTCATTTTACTTAGATCAATGCTTATGGAAGGAACAGTCAAGAAATTAAAGATTTTCCCTGAGCAAATCTGCTGCAGAAGACCTGTAAAGTGTTAAAAGCAAAGATGTCACTTTGACTATGAGTCTTACTTTTTTTAAAAAAAAATCAAAACAAAACAGAAATGTAACATTTTAACTGTGCTGGACAGTTAGTTGAAATTCATTCCAGTTAACTGGTTCCTAATGGAAAAAATTTCATTTTTGTTGCATTCTTTTGAATTGGAACCAACCATAGCTGACCCTTCAGTGAGTTTTCAGAGATAGTAAAGCACATGGGAGTTGATTGCCCATCTTTCTTCTGTGGAGCAGCTGGGGATTTGAACTGCATTTCTTTGCATGGACAGTGTGTTTCCTTACCCCTCTGTGTCTATTCAGTTTGTATGCTGAGCAAATAATTCATGAAGTCTGACTCTGTGAAGAAGAAAAAACATGGCATCAGGTTTGGAGAAAAAGATTCATCAACCTGTGTTATGCAGGTGAAACAACTTTATTTGCTGAAAGTGAGGAGGATATGAAATGCTTGATACAGAAGATCAAGGACTACAGACTTCAGTAAGGATTACATCTCATCATCAACAAAACACAGATACTCACCACAAAACCAACAGTTAACATTATGATAGGTGGAGAAATGATTGAAGCTGTCAATGATTTCATCTTTCTTGGATCATCAATCAACATCCTTGGTGATAATTCAATAAAACAGCCAATTATTCAAAAGGTGTATTGCATTGGGCAAGTCTGCTGCCAGGGATCTCTCAGAATGCTGAAAAGCGACAATGTCAGTTGGGAGACTAAAATGTGCCTGATTCAAGACATGGTCTTCTCAATCATCTGCTATACATAAGAGCCAGACAATGAATAAGGATGACAAAAGAATTGATGCATTTGCCTTGTGATACTGGAGAAGAGTACTGAATATTGCATGACCTGCCAAAAGAACAAACAGATATGTCTTGGAGAAGATGAAGCCAGAGTGCTTCTTGGAGGCAAATATGACAAAGCTTTGTCTTTCATACATCAGACATGTAGCTAGGCAAGGCTATTCCCTGGAAAGGAACATTATGCTCAGAAAGGTGGAGGGTCAAGATGAAGAAAAAGGAAGACCTCTAACAAGATGGGCTGATAAGGTTAGTTCAGCTACAGACCCCAGTGTGTCGGAGATGATGAGGATGGCACAGGACAGAACAGGGTTCAGGTCAGCTGCTCACAGGGTTGCTATCAGTCATACTCAATTTGATGGCACCTAACAACGGCAACAACAGGCCACCAGAGCGCCCTACATCATGGGTTGTCCTTGATTCAACAGCACATTACAACAACCACAGTGAGAATAATAAAGGAACTCTGGTAGCCTATTGGATAAGGAGTTTTTCTGCCAACTCAAAGACACATAGTTCAAGCCCATCAGTTGCTCTGTAGGAGAAAGATGTGCAGTCTTTAATGTGATTTAAAGCCTCTGAAAACCTGCTAGAGAGTCAGCTACAAGTTGGTTCTGACTTGAGGGCACATAAAAACAACAATGGAATAAAGATTTTATTTTTAGCACTTTTGTGGCATCCTAATGACCTAAACATAGGGTTTTTGAAGGCCTGTTATTTGGCAAAAGGATGGTCAATCCTCCCTAGTCTGTCTTAGTTTGGGTGCTGAGTGTTAGAGCAATATTTGACAGAGAAGGGTTTTACCCAAAAGAGCTGATGAGAGTATGGGAAAATCAGCTGTCAGGGACTTCTGCAGAGTACTGAAAAGTACTGATGTCAGTTTAGAGACTAAGATGTGCCTGATCCAAGCCATAGTCTTCACCATTACTTCCATGCATTAGAGAGCTGGACAATGACTAAGAATGATAGAAAAATAATCGAAGCCTTTGAGTTGTGGTGCTGGAGAAAAATATTGAACATACCATGGACTGCTAAAAGAACAAACAGGTCTGCTCTAGAGAGAGTGAAACGAGGCTGTTCTTTAGAGGCAAGGAATTTGAAGCTCTGGCTGGCATAATTTGGGCATGTTGCCGGGAGAGACCAGTCTTTTGCAAAGGACATAAAGCTTGGAAGGGTGGAGGGACAGCACAAGAGGAAGACCCTGGATAAGATGGGCTGACTAAGTGATTGGGGTAATGGGGATAGGTTTGTCAGAGACAATGAGATTGGCTTAAGATAGAGCAGAGTTCAGAGCTGTGGTACATTGGGTCACTATGAGTAACAAGAGACTCGACGACATGTAACAGTGGCAAAGGCTTACACAGGAATCACATTGAATATATCTGTGGAAAGAATCATTGGGAAAGCTTAATATCAGCTGTGAAAACTGGGTGCAGGTGCTGACTGTGGAACAGACCTACTCATATGTAATTTCACACTGAAGCTAAAGAAAATTAAATCCACAAGAACCAAAATTTGACTTTGAGTCTATCCCACCAAATTTAAAAACCATCTCAGGAACTGTTTTAAGGCTTTGAACACTAATGAGTGAAGGCCAAATGAGCTGTGGAAGGATATTAAGAATATTGTCCATGAAGAATGCAAAAAGCCACTACAAAGACAGAAAAGGAAGAAAAGACTTGAGATGTATGTTGGAAGAGATTCTGAAAATTGCAGTAGAGCTCTGAGAAGCCAAAACAACAGAAAGAAATAGGATTTCTTTAAGGAGCTGAACAGAAGATATCAAAGGACTTCTTGGGAAGACAAAACAATGTATTATAATGAAATGTGCAAAACGCTGGAGTTGAAAAGTCAAAAAGGACAAACTTGCTTAGCATTTCTTAAGCTGAAAGAACTGAAGAACAAATTCAAGCCTTGAGTTGCAATACTTAAGGATGCTGTGGGCAGAATATCGAATGATCAGGAATCATCAAAAAAGATGGAAGGAGTATACAGAGTTACTGTATTGAAAATAATAGACTGACAAAGAATTTCATGAAACAACTTAATGTTTAAGAGGCCATGGTGATTAACGAGGAAGTTCTGGCTGCTTTGAAGGAATTGACAAAAACAAGGCCTCAGGAATTGATGGAATATCAATTGACATATTTCAACAAACAAATGCAGTCCTGGGCGTGTACACTAGATTGTGCCAAGAAATCTGGAGGATGACCACTGGCCAACTGACTGAAAGAGATCATATTTATTCCCATTCAAAATTTTAAAAAAGTGATCTGACAGAGTGTAGAAATTATCAAACAATATCACTAATATCACACACAAGCAAAATCCTGCTAGAGATTATCCCAGAATGACTGGAACAGTGTATAGACAGAGAACTACCAGAACAACCTGGGTTTAGAAGAGGCTATGACATTAGAGACATTATCACCAATATCAGTTGGATTTTAGCAGAAAGCAAAGAGTACCAGAGGAAAGTCATTTGTGTTTCATTGACTGTGCAAAGACATTTGACTGTGTGGATCACAACAAACTTGGCTGACTCTGGGATGAATGGGAATTCTAGAACACTTGATTGTACTTATGCAAAACTTATGCTTGGGCCAGGAAACAGTCATCAGAACAGAGCAAGGAAACACTACATGGTTCAAAATTAGAAAGGGAGTGCATCAAGAATGTGTCCTGTCTCCATACCTTTTCAAACTGTATGCAGAACAGATCATTCAGGAGGCTGGATTTTTTGAGGAGGAATGTGCCATTAGGGTTGGAGGAAGACTTATCAACAACCTGCTCGAGGGTCAGGTCTGAGTGGGTTCACATCAACGATAAGAACATCTTTTGTTTCCCTACTTAGATTAACATTAGTTTAAGCCAAAGAATAGCTTTTATTTCTCTTTCACATAAAATAAATAATTTAGCGGTGAGAAACCCAGAGCTAGAATGTTGGCTTCCTAATTAGAATGGACATGCGCTCCTGTAACCTTTATTCTCATAATAATGGCCATGAGATTTTTATCTTTAAGTGCTTCATGATCTAAGATGAAGCCATCTATCCACATTCCAAGCAGCAAGGGAGAAAAAAAGACAAATGCTTCCAGAAATGTCACAAAATATTTTTACTAACATACACATGGCTGTGAGTGACTAAGTTCTCCACCTGCTGCATGGTGGAGTGGCGGGATAGACAGTTCGATCTTTTTGGCTGTGTACACTGCTGCTCTGAGTTAAATTGGAAATATCTTACTGAGAGCTAAGAAAGAGTTGCCAGGAAAAGCAAAACTGTGCATTCTTTAACATTTCTCACCTGAACACTTGGAATGTTACTAATTCAAGTTGAACACACACACACACACACACACAGATATGGATATATACATACATATATGGAGCTCTGTTGGCCTCGTGGCAAAAAAACTACACTACAATCCTGTTGGCATGTGGTTCGAGGTCACCAGCTGCTCTGCAGGAGGATGGGCAATCTCCCCCTGTGCAATTAACTGCCTCTGAAAACTCTCCAAAGGGTCATCTGTGGTCGGTTCCTACTCTGTAGTACACAACAGCACACACACATACACACACACACACGCATACACACACAAAATAAAGAGCAAATTCCTTTTTTTTTTACTATTTTTTTAAATTTCGTTTGTTTATTTTTCATTTCAATGAACATCTACAGAGATTTTGGAATTCCATTCATTCATTGTTGCACCCTTCTCCCCGCACACTACCCTCCCTACCCAGCCCCCCTCCCGTTTGCTCCTCTCCTTGAAAAGCAAAAGAAAAACTCCCTCATTGGTACACAATCCCCCCCCGCACCTTCCCAAACCCCACTCCCTACCCCGAAATATAATCCACTCTGCAACCCTCATTGCGTACTCCTACGATAAGAATAACGCCCTAAAATATAATACTTTTAGACTATTCTCTCCCCCATAGACTTCAATGCCGTAAACATATTTCATCCAGTTTTTCTCAGTCTTACCCCCACCCCAATGCTAGCCTCATTCTACAACAGTGGCACCATATAGCATTTGTACCTCACTCAGCATAATGTCCTCCAGGTTCACCCATTTTGAATAATATTGCATGAGTTCCTTGTTTTTCAATGCAGCATAGTATTCCATTGTGTGAATATACCACAGCTTCTCTACCCATTCGTTTGTTGATGGGCATTTAGGTTGTTTCCAACTCCTTGCTATTGTAAACAAAGCCGCGATAAACATGGGTATGCATATATCTACTTGGATGTCAATTTCATTCAAGAAAAGCTTGGGAAAACTTTAGTAGCCCTAATGCACAACATAAAGAGTCTTCCCAGTATTCTGAAAAATTTACAGCCAGGAAAAGATAAAATAGATGAATGGGACCTTCTAAGAATCAAATCCCTATGCGCATCCAGAAACTTCTCTAACAGGGTAAAAAGGGAAGCCACAGACTGGGAAAAAGTTTTGGGTAATGACATGTCAGACAAGGGACTTATATCTAGAATTTATAAAATACTCGGGCACCACAACAAGATAAAGGTGAATAATCCAATTGAAAAATGGGCACAGGATATGAATAGACACTTCACCAAGGAAGACATTCAGATGGCCAACAAGCACATGAAGAAATGTTCAAAATCCCTAGCTCTGAGAGAGATGCAAATAAAGCAAATTCCTTTTAAGAAAAGATATTTTCTTCCTTTAAGAAATGGTTTTTAAATCTATATTGAGTATGTGGTTGATAAAAGCTGAGCTCTTTTGGCCAGGTGGGTATGGAGCTGTGCTGCAAACCCAAAGGCAGGCAGTTTGAATCCACCAGCGGCTCCATGGGAGAAAGATGAGCAACGCCCTCACGTGCTGAAACCTCATTGGAAGGTCAGCTATGTCATTTCTGACTTGATGGCAGTGTGTTTTGAGTTTATTGTTATGCTCTGTAGGTGTGGGGAAAAAATTAATCCTGCCAGGGGTTCAGTTGTACCTAGTCCATGAACAGAATAGGAATATCATTTTATAGTACAGATTTTAAGAGAGGTATGACCTTGCTATATTTATGGGGAGAAGAGTTAAAAATCACACTGTCATGGAATTCATCATCATAAGTAAATCCTTTTGACTATAGAATTGTCAAGTTTTCATTTCCTCAGTTATTTCTTTTCCCCCATTCTTTTCATTACATCACTTTTTAAAAAATTATATTGCTGTGTGTACACAATTCATACATATTGTGTTTCACACTACCCTTCATTCACACTGTGTTTCATACAATCATTCCCATTCATTGCATCTTATAAAACCAATCCCCACTGAACTACGCCCCCCATTACCCACCTTTTCAGATCCCCACTGATCCTTCTCATTTCCTTCACCCGCTCCCTCCACTTACCATATCTTGCAATCCAGTGATTTCTCCCCTGCCAATCCACACTCCTCTGCTCCCACCCCTTTCCCCCTTGGACCCCCATAGATATTTTGCTAGTTTTCCTTCTGCTAAATGTTTATGGTCCAGTATTTTAAAGAAGACATGAATGAGCAAAGATAAAGCACCAAAGGGAGGGAGAAAATCAATCTGACTTGAGGTCCTGGAAGGAGTCCTGGTAGCACAGTGGTTAAACACTCAGCTGCTACTGGAAGTTCTGCACTTTGAACCTACAAGTTGTTACATAGAAAAAAGATGTGGCATTCTGCCCTTCCCTTAATGATCACCACCTTCAAAGCCCTGTAGGGCAGTTCTGCTCTGTCCTTCGGACACACTGTGAGTCAGAATTTAGTCCATTGCAATGGGTTTGGCCATTTGGTTTTAGAGGGCTTTGTGTTAAGAGTTGTTAGTTGTTGGTGAGTGTTAAGAGCATGAGCACTGGTGGCCTGAGGGCAGGGAATTGTACTGCCAACCCAAAGACATTCAGTTCGAATCCACCAACTACTCTGCAGGAAAAAGATGGGTAGCTTCTTCACATGAGATTTACAGCCTCTGAAACCCACTGGTAGGTCAGCTATGAGGTGGATCCAACTGAATAGCAATAAGCTGAGTTGTGTTAAGAGCAACAGTTTGAGGACAAGGATCATTCCTCAGATTGGGAACTAGAACTTAATAATGTTAACTGGGGAGTAAGAATGTTTGTGGAAGAGACACTAAAATACAGTGACGTGCATGACTTAACAGAAATACATTGTTAGTATTTTATAACATACTCTTTCATAAGTTCCTATAGATTGGTCATTCTCTGAACATGTTTGCTGGTCCCCTGAAGGCCATGGTCATGCCTCTTATGCATGTATTAGCAGTGGTAACTGTAGTGTTATACCAGTTTTTCTTGTTATTGATATGTTCTAGGATGCAAATGTTCCACCAGTGTCTTTTCTGAAAGTTCTAAGACTGAATAAAACAGAGTGGCCTTACTTTGTAGTGGGGACTGTTTGTGCCATTGCCAATGGGGCCCTTCAGCCAGCATTTTCACTCATCTTCTCAGAAATGATAGAGGTAAGTTTGGAAACGTCACATAACACTTGATTTGTATCAGCTCATCAACTCCTTCTCATCCCCACCTCACCAGATGGATCCATTTTATGAGTTATTCTCAAGTATAACAAAGCATCCTTGACATAAAGACATCTAGAGTCTCTTTTTTCCCTCTGAGAAAAGCTATGCAGGAGAAGTAGCCTTTTAGGATCAAGTATGACCCTAATATAAAAAACAACAAAGGGGACGTTCTGACTAGCATCTCTTTTCATTTGGGGGAAACCGGTACCCTGTGCAATTTGTTGGAAAGTGGAGAAAGCCTTGGTTTAAAAGCCTTGGTTCTGAATGCCCACTGGCCTTGACATTCAATAACTATAAAAACTTGGGCAAGATACTTTTTCTCTCTGTCTCTCTCTTTCTTTCTCTGTACAACAGTAGTATCTTCCTGATAGGATTACCAAGAATTAAACTAGATTATATAGGTGATTAGATGCATATCCAGTCCTCCAGTTGTCCAGATGGTGATGTACTCACTACTAACAGAAAGGTTTCCAGTTCAAGCCCAGAGGTGCCTCAGACAGCCATTATCTGCTTCTAAAGCTCACAGTCTTGAAAACATTTGAAAAATTTTATTCCACCTCCTGTGGAGTTGTCATGAGTTAGAATCATCTCAGTGACAGCAGGTCTGTCTTTCAATGTGAAAAATGTTTAGGTTAGTTCTTTGATAACTATTACAGTAAACATTGTAGTAAGTACTCAAAAAGGTGTCCTTTCTACATCAATAAAGTTACTGTTATTCAATTATGAAATTTATTAGGGGATGCTTATAAGAATTTATCAGAAATATGTTAGACCCCACAAAACCCAGTATGTATAGGGTATGACCACCCTAATCAGCCTTTAGTGTTGTTGAGTACTGTTGAGTCAGAACCAAATCATAGCTGATCATCCAGTGGATTTTCAGAGGTAATTAACTGCACGAGAGGAGATTGCTCATCCTAATCCCATGGAGTAGCTGGTGGATTTGAACTGCGTGCCTTTGGGATTGCAGCACCATTTCTTACCACTCTTCATCATGTTGTTAATTTGCTATTCTTGTGACATTAAACATTAGTCTACAATTAAAACTATAAGCCAAAATATAGGAAGTGATAAGAAGCTGCACTGCGATCCTGAAGGCACACAGTTCAAATCCATCAGCTGTGCAACTGGAGAAGAATGTGCAGTCTCCTCTGGTGAGATGAACTGACAGAAAACGTACTGTAGCGTCAGCTATGGGTCAGCTCCAAGTCAATGGTACAGAACAGCAGTATGTGTGTATTTGTGTGTAGGGGGTTATAGAGTGTTTTCATTTCAAAGAGGATGGTCAGGGCAGGCATCTCTAGATGGAGACTTGGTGGAGTGAGAGGTGGAGAGCTGTGCAGCTTCATGGAATTCATAGAGACAATAGCAAGTGCAGAGAAAGAAGACCAGCTCTAGAATATGCAACGACCTACAGCACTGAAGTATCAGCCTATGTTATGTCACCCAATTGTCCATGTGAAAATGTTGAAATGTCAAGCTTTTGTTTTAGTTTGTGTATGTATGAATATATATTTGCCATAATTTTAAAAATATTTTTTAAAATTCCATCTTCATTCCCTGGATTTTAAAATGTGATGCTTGAGCTATTTTATTTATTGGATAAATAAACAAAGATTGCATAATCCAAGTGGGTATTTTAAATGTTCTTTTGTAGATATTTGGACCGGGGGATGATGAAGTGAAGCAGCAAAAGTGCAACATGTTCTCCTTGCTTTTTTTAGGTCTGGGAATTATTTCTTTTTTCACTTTCTTCCTTCAGGTAAGTACCCTCGACTTGCCTTCTTATCTAGTATAAATTCAGTTTTTGTGGTTATATACTTTGCAGTCAGAATCAATTCATACCTGACCATTCAGAGGGTTTTCAGAGGCAGTAAATCACACAAGAGGAGATTGCCCATGATTTTCCCATGAAATAGCTGTTGGATTCAAACCATGTATCTTTGAGTTCACAGTGCAGTTCCTTACCACTAAGTGAGCAGAGCTCCCTGGATAGTATTCAATTAGAGAGTTCATTAAAACCTAACAGAGTTTACAAATCCTTGACATGAATTTAATTGCAAATGCACTTGGCATGCAGGCTCTTACAGAGGATATCCCTTAGTGTAGGAACTGTGACTCCCTTCTCTGCTAAAAGTATAATTACAAGTTCACCTTCAGGAAATAGTCATTACCAAAGAAAGGGGACAGGAACCCTACTGCTGTGCAGTTGATCCTGCCTCATAGAGAGCCGATAGAGCAGAGCAGAACTGCCTGATAGGGTTTCCAAGGTTCTTAATCTTTATGGGCGTATATTTATGTCTTCATCTTTTTCCCCAAGGGGCAATTGATAGGTTCAAACCACCTGTATTTCAGTTAGCAACCCAACACTTAATGCCACGATAACACCAGGGCTCATTTATTGAGGAAATCAATTCACTGGAAAACATAAAGAACCAGTTAAACTTGTTGGTTTAAAGACCAAGTTGCACCTGACCCAAGCCATACTATTTCATTTGTCCTAAACATGTGAAAGTTGGGTAATGAATAAGGAAACCCAAAGAATGATTTATGCCTTTGAATGTTGATGTTGGTGAAGAGTACTGAATACACTGTGCACTGCAAAAAGAACAAACAAATCTGATTTGGAGGAAGTATAACCAAGGTGCTTCAGAGAGGTGAGCATAGTGAGCTTCAACTCACATACTATGGCCATCTTATCAGGAGACACCAGGCCTTGGGAAAAGACATCATGCTTGGACAAGTGGAGAGTGATCTAAGAAGATTCTCAGTGAGATGGATTGACATAGTGACTGTGACAATGGGCCTTAGCACAGAGGAGATTGTGCAGATGGCACAGGATAGGGCGAGATTCCGATCTGTTCACAGTGTTCGCTATGACTTATAGTTGACTTGATAGCTGACACCTAAAAACAACTTGAAAACTGGAAAAATTTAGTGCAGTGCCTTTATTATTCACTTAATTGACTATTTGAAAGAATATAGATTATTTGCTTTCAGATAGTGTAGAACTGGCTAGTGAAACCTACTGTAAATGATACTTTTCTGCTTAGGTAAATGTTTACCAAATTCCCTTTGGTTCTAAGACATGACTTTTGAATACAGTCCTATTCAGAAAAATCCTATTCTGATTGCTAAATCAGCAAAAAAAAAAATGTTATTCATGGCCAGTGCACAGGCTTGGTATAGCAGCAACTGACTGATCAAACCCATCCCTAGAGTGTTATGGAATGAAGCTGGTGATATGATGCCAGGGAAGCAAGGGGCTGATGCATGGAATAGTGGTCCCCATTTTAGCTTCGAGCCATCTCCTAAAAGAGAAAGGAGGAGATGAAGGCAATATAGGCTTTGACAAGAGGCATCTGGAGCAGCCATCGCCAGTCCTGCTGGCTTTAAGTAGAAAGCTCTGCTGTGTATCCACATAGTGTTGTACACAAGGCTAGAAGCCTACGTATCCTGAGGTGGAGGGCAGGGGGACCTAGGAGCAAGCCCTACTGTGGACATCTGGGCTATGCTCCAGTCTGGACATGGCATAATTAGAGGGAGGGAACTTGCCTGGCAAAGAGGCTTGCAAAGAAGAAGAGCCTCATTGTTCCCCCGAGAGCGGGAGTTGCTGACAGGGAACCAGCAAGCTCATTTATGTCCTCTTTCCCTCAACATTGCTTTCACCAAAATGTGTTTCTGAGTAGAATTTTGTTACATTTCTTTTCAACTGTTTTACTTTATGTATTAGGAACACACTGACAGCTGTAATAGGAGACAGTTATCTTTCTCATTGAAATGTTGTCCTTGAAAATTTTGAAAAATAACCCTATTTAGAGTGGCTTAGAAGTCAGAACAAGACACTTTCAAAGTTACTTTTGTTTTATGAGACTCTTCTATACCAATGGTGTATAGATACCTGGTGGTGCAGTGGTGAAGCACTCAACTGGTGTCCAAAAGGTGCTGTTTGAAACCTGCCAGCAGGCTCCACAGGAGAAAAGATCTGCTTCTGGAAAGATTATTGACTAGGAGACTCTACAGGGAAGTTCTCCTCTGTCCTCCAGAGTTGCTATGAGTCAGAATAACAGGTATTGATGATTTAGCTATCCAAGCCATGATCTTTTCAGTTGCTTCCCATGCATTTGAAAGTTGGACAATAAGTGAAGAATACAGAAGAAGAATTGATGCCTTTGAGTTGTGATGTTGATGAAGAGTATTGCGTATACCATGGACAGACAGCCAAAGGAACAAACAAATCTATCTTGGAGAAAATTCAACCGGAGTGTTCCTTAGAAGCAAGGATAGTAAAATGTTGTCTCTCTTACTTTGGACCTATTCTCTGGAGAAACCAGCCCTTGGAGGGGCATCATGCTGGGAAAGGTGGAGAGTCCAATAAAGAGAGAAAGACCCTCCACAAGGTGGATTACCATGATGACTTCCACCAAGGGCCTGAGCAGTACAGAGATCGTGAGAATGGTTCAGATCAGTGGTCCATAGGCTTGATATAAGTCAAGGCTTGATGGCACCAAACAACAACAACAACAATAATTTAGCAACATGTGAATTTTCATTTGGAATTTTGAATTACTGTTTAGTCTTAAGACATTTTATGTTGGATAGCTGGTTTTCTTTTTGTTTTAGTTCTTTTTTAAAAAAACAAAATTGTTGTACCACTGAATCAGATCCACTTGACACAGAAGGAGATTGCCCCTCCTTCTCCAGTGGAGCATCTGGTAGATTTGAAGCATGTGCCTTTGGGATTGCAGTGCCGCTTCATGCCTCTAGGCCACCAGAGCTTCCTTTGAATAGCTGAATGTGAACAACACAATTGTATCACAATACTCAAACTCATTGCAGAGAATTTGGAAGTGACTCATAGCTGACCAATGAGTTCTTAGAGGCTGTAAATTGTACAGAAGGAGATTACTACCTTTCTCCCTTGGAACAACCGGTGGATTCAAACCACCAGCCTTTGGATTGGTAGTACAATTGTCTACCCATTGGGCCACTAGAGTTCCTATGAAAATAATTGTTGTTGATTGCCTTCAAGTGAAGCATGACTCATAGCAACCCTATGAACAAAAGGCCTGAAGCCCCTCTACAACTATTAACATATATCATAGTTCATGGAGTTTCTGGAGGCATGTTCTTTAGAAAGTAGATGCCACTAAAAAAAAAAAAAAAAAAAAAAAAAGTAGATGCCACTCCTGCTTCCGAACCTGTCATATTATGTTGTTATTGTTATGTACGTTGAGTTGCCTGCGATACATAGCAACCCTATGTACAGCAGCTCTGAATCCTTCCCTGTCTTGAGCCAGTCTCACTGATTCTGACACACAAAAATACTAGTGATGACTAAAAATGATGTCTTCCCCCCACCCCTTAACTAGGGTTTCACATTTGGGAAAGCTGGAGAGATCCTTACCACAAGGCTTCGGTCGATGGCTTTTAAAGCAATGCTAAGACAGGTGGGTATGTGCACTGGAAATGTCTTCTATTTTCCAGATTTCTTTTAAGCCTCTTCTTCTTTTTACTGATATGCTATGGTTCATATTACTGTCCCTTCCCTTATAAAAACACTGATAGGAATCATACAAGTTGTCCTTGCTTTTCATTATTCAAAGACCACTCAGGGCTTTCTGGGGAACATAGGCTTATTTAGATGGCTTCTTTTTCTTTACTCGGCAGCTATCTCTGTGTGGGTACTAGAACTTCAAGGGCTTGTCTAAATCCTGCACAGGAGTCCATGGAGAACCCAAGATGCCTTCAGACAAAGGGGTAAAGTGGTTCACCCCATTTACGTACCACAATTGAACATAGTAACTGTAGGTTTCCTCAGATGTTGGTAATTGAGGAGTTACTTGGATGCTTTTCTGTTTTATTAGGGCTCTGTTTTTATATTAACTCATATCCCACAGCACACAGTGTCCTGGTCAAACTAAGAAACCCCAAACTCCCTGGCACTGTGTTGTTGTTATGTACCATCAAGTCAGAGCAGCTCATAGCTGGCCCTGCAGTGGGTTTTCAGAGGCTGTAAATTACACAAGAGGAGGAGATCTCCCACCTTTCTCCCACGGAGCACGTGATGGGCCTGAACCTTGTGCCTTTGGGTTTGTGGCACAACGCCTTACCACTAGACCAGCAGAGCACCATTGTATCAGATGCTATTCATAGAGAGTGTAGTGGTTTTTCAAGGCTGTAAGTCTTAGCATAGGGAGTTCTGGTAGCTTAGTGATAAGGAGTTGTACTGACAAGACAAAGGAACACAGTTTAAATCCACCAGCTGCTCCAGGGAAGAAAGATGAGAAAAGCCACTGGAGGGTCAGCTATGAGTAGTAGGTTCTGATTTGATGGCACACAACCAGCAGCACACCAGGGAGCTCTGGTTACATCGTCCACAGCTAGTTACACTACAAACCCAAAGCTGTGCACCAGTGGCCCCTTGGTAGTGTGCTGGCAGTTGGGTCTGTCATGCACTATCTGTTCTTTTGGGCAATCCAGTACAAAAAGTGTGGGAGAAATATGTAGACATGGATTCTCTACTTTCATAGAGACTATCTAAAAAGAGAACCAAAATAAAATGCAACCAATTGATAGAGATTGAGTAAACGCCTGTTCACAAAAGAGAATTTATTTTGAACAAATCTGAAAGTTTACAAACTTCTCCCCCAGTGTTTCCTAAACTATCTAGAGAAGCTCTTGTGGCACAGTGGGCTGAGCATTTTGCTCCAATACAAAAGGTCAGCAGTTCAAACCCACCCAGTGGCTCTGTAGAAGAAAGGTGAGGCAGTCCATTTCCACAAATGTTTACAGCCCTGAAAATCCTGTGGGAAGTTCTACTATGACTCTTTGCCAATGAGTTTGGGTTTTTTAAGAAAAATTATTGGATATGCAATTATTTTATATTTAAAAATACTACAAATGAGTGCTTTATAATTAAAATTCTATGCAAGACATGAGTTTTCTATCCTTAAAAACAAACAAAAAACCCACCAAACAACAGCTCACCACAGTGAGAAACAAAGGCTTCTTTTCTCCTGTCCATAGTGTATAAGAGTATGTCTAACAGATCTCTTCACCCTCTGAATCCGTTCCTTTATGAGAGAGAGACATGTCCATATTTAGGTTGTAATGTCCGTACATCCCATCCAGCTCCACTAACACAATATCTACAGCTATTGAATCTATTCCAACTCACAGTGGCCTAGTAGAGAGAATGTTGTTGTTGTTGTTGTGTACCATCGAGTCGGAACTCACCCATAGCTGACCCTCTGGCAGGTTTTTCAGAGGCAGTTAATCACATGGGCAGAGATTGCCCATCCTTCTCCCACAAAGCAGCTTAGATCAATAGGATTCCTAAGGCCGTAAATCTTTACGGGAGCACACTGTCTCATTTTTCTACGCCAAAGCTCTTGATGAGTTTGCACTGCTGACCTTTTAGTTAGCAGCTGATTTCTTCAGCCGTAGTATATCCAGGGCCGCAAAACTGACAGGAAGCCGAACTGCTCATCGCCCCTCTCCCCGCCACCTCCCTACCCCATCTGCCCAGAGCGGTGATGCTCTCTTCCTGTCAGACCAGAGCAGCTTGAGGGTGGGTCCTGGGGGACTCAGGCCCCTTAAGGTTCAGCAGTGCACGTGATGTCATCCCTGCACTTCAGTATACAGGGGACGTGTAGGTATTTTCTTCACATTGAGGCTTTGGAATGTTTTATTTACTTTTTGTTGCCTGTTTTGATTTTGAACTAATTAAAGGTCTATTTTGTGCTTTAGGACATGAGCTGGTTTGATGACCATAAAAACAGTACTGGTGCACTTTCTACAAGACTTGCGACAGATGCCTCTCAAGTCCAAGGAGTATGTAGATGGCACTCCACTAAGTATTCCTATTTGCCATAGTTGTAAATAGACATGTGGCATAGCTGTACCTGTGAGGCTGCTGTCAGCTGGAGTTAAGGGAAAGCTTGAGCTGATCTAAACGATAAGAGCAAGGTTAGATTTAAGGATTTCTTGATCCATTGACTAAAAAATGTCATCAAGGACCCAAATTCCTTCTTTCTGGGTGTCTGTCTCCATCTTCATCTTAAGACTCATACCCCTCCTGGCCCTAGGATGGGTGTCATTAACAATCGCAGCTACAAGCTGCCTCATTTCCCATACTAGCAAAGAGGCACTGTACCTGTGACTCAGCCACCAAGCCAGAACTCTTCCTTTACCCTGATTTGTATCACATGCCCAGCCTTGAACCGGTACCAGGTGCAGGCCGAGCTCTGACCCCCTAATGCCGAACTTGGTTAATTTTTCTGAAACTTCCCTGCTTCCCCATCATGAAAGAGAAGGAAGAAGTGAGAGCCCACTATAATAAGCTTTATTTTCTGAGTGGTATAAATGGTAATTTATTTCTATGTAAGCATCATGGTAGACAGTCTCTTAGGTTATGTATAGGTACGGTCTCTTAAGAGGGTGTAAATTTTTCTTTTATGCCTTTTTGAAGCAAAAGGTTTTTTAAATTACCAGAGTCCCTTGAGGTTAAATGTTGTTTCCATTAACAAAGTGTATCCCCTCCACCTATCCACAAACAGAAGAGTTGATCACTTGGTTACATAACATGGGTTTCCTGTGGGCAGGAGAGGCATGAGTGTTCAGCATGCCAGGGTTAGGACTTACTGTCATGAAAGTGAGCATAGGTTAGAACAGGCATAAACTCTCTCTTATTTCTGACCAAGGAACCTCAGGAAGTTAAACACAACTGCACTGCCTTTCTTGTTTTCTAGGCCACGGGGACCAGGTTGGCATTAATTGCACAGAATACAGCCAATCTTGGAACTGGTATCATCATATCATTTATTTACGGTTGGCAGTTAACCCTTTTGTTGTTATCGGTTGTTCCAATTATTGCTGTATCAGGAATTGTTGAAATGAAAATGTTGGCTGGAAATGCCAAAAGAGATAAAAAGGAACTGGAAGCTGCTGGAAAGGTGGGTTACATAAAACTTCAATTAGAGTGAGAATTGTTTTAGACATGCTTTTATTTGCATTATCAGTCCTAACATGCATATTTCCGTATTTCATGTTTATACTCACTACACCTACTAATTGTCAACACTGTGCATGAAATATTTAACTGTATTAATAATTCATAGAGTTTGAAAAGAAGGTAATTAAAGATTTTTTAGCCCAAAGTGCTCTTAAAATGTTATTATAAAATCTTCTGATTTTAGCACCTCTCATCTTTTACTTCCTAGTCTTTTGCTATAGTGATACAAACACCGCTCTTCTTTTGTAAATGAAAACACCTTAAGGCAGAGAATATAAGTGAATTGTTCAAAGTATGACATTTGCCAGTATTTGAGTATTTGTCTGCTTTCTAGAATTAATGTATATAGCCAGCAGGTGGCAGTAATGCCCTGAGCTTTTTGTTCTACCTCTAATGGTGTGGGAGCTCAGGTGGCTAGTGGTAAGGAGTTGTTTTTGCCAACCCAAAAGTACATGGTTCAAATCTACCAACTGAGGAGAGCTCTGGTGGCATGGTGGTAAGGAGCTGCAACTACAATCCCAGAGGTGCACGGTTCGAATCCACCAGATGCTCTGCCGGGGAAGGAGGGACAATCTCCTCCTGTACCAGTCAGATCTGATTTGACGGTACACTCACACAAAAATAATAAAATAAAAAAAATTTTTTTAAAAATCTACCAACTGCTGCACAAGAAGGTCAGCTATGACTTGGTTTCTACTTGATGGTATATAGCAATAACTAATGGCAAAAGGGAGCTCTGGTTACCTGGAACTTACAGCGTTGTGCAGCTTACCCAAAGCTTACACTGGTTCTAATCGACCAGCAGCTCTGTAGGAGAAAATGAGCAGTCTCCTCCCTTGCAGTTTACAGCCTCATTAACTGTTAGATGGTTAGCTATGGGCTAGTTCTAATTCAACAGCAATGAGTTGTTGAGTTGGTAGTGGCAAGTGGGCTAATAATTATATGAGCCTTACTATGTGCCAGTAACTGTGCTGAGTACATGTACCAAATCACTAAATTCTGACAATAGGCCTATGAGGCAGGCACTAATATTACAGCAGTTTCACAAGTGAGATATTAAAAAAGATGTTAAAGTCAAGTTGGGATTCAAAGTGAGGTCATCAAAATTAAAAGCTGGACTTTGAACCTGAAGTTAATGATTCAAACCTACCAGCTGTTTCGTGGGGAAAGGAGGTAGCAGACTGTCTTCATGATAAGTTACAGCCTTGGAAGCCATAAAGGGCACATTAATTACTCGGTCCTATAGCATGTCTTGGATCTGAATCTGAATGGTTGCATGCTAGGAACTATACTATATGATCTTTTAAAGTGTATTTAAATGTATGCATAAACATTTATAAGTGTATGTAAATGTTCACATAGATTATAGCAACTGGTATTTTCATTATTAATTATGTGCTTATTATACTTTAATGAAACAGGAGGAAGTGAAGTAGGTATGAAGTCTAAATTGTAGTATAATTGTTACAACGCACAGTTTACACAGCCCTTTCACAATGTTGCTACCACTGACCCTCACTCCTGCTGGGTCAGGAGGGACTGGTAAATCTCCACTTTATAGAGAAGAAAGCAGCTGAGGTTGAATGACTTGCTCCAAATATGCTTTAATTAAACCAGCTTTGTCCAATGAAATAGCAGGTTACTTGCTGTGCTGCTAGCCCAAAAGTCAGCTGTTTGACTCCAGCAACTGCTCCACAGGAGAAAGATGGGCACTCTCCTCCTGTAAGGATTTGCAGCTTAGGAAACCAGAGAGAGGGCTGCGAGTTGTTAGAATGGACTCAGCAGCAGTGGGCTGGGTTCCCTCTCCGTTGGCCCGGCTGCCACTCAGTGCAGTGCTGAAATCATCCAGTGACTGACTCGTTGTCGAGTTGGAACCTCACAGGTGCCCCTCGGTGTGTTTTCAGAACCTGTGAATTACACAGGAGGAGACTGCCTGTCTTTCTTCCTTAGAACTGTTGCTGGATTTGAACTGCTTGCATGCAGACTAAGCCTACTCAGGAGCAAGTTTGAAGGTTTATTTTAGCCTACCATAGTCAGTGAATAAGTTATTATCTCAAATAAATGAAATCATCTCAACCTTACAATTACTGGTCAACACCTAATGTAATTTTGTAAATAGTTCTCTGTAAACAATAGCTAACTGTTAAGTCCCTTACATTTCAAGGTTCAGTGAAAAGCATGGTGAGAATAAACCTTGCCAAAACTGGATGTACTGGATATAAGCCACACCACCAAGTAAACTCTCCTTTCCAATGATATGTTGCTTACATCCGCATAGAGAATGGAGTGTGACCGTATCAAAGTATATAAAGGGAGGAGGAGTGCAGTATTACTCCATGCCCACGAGCCACGGAGCACCATGGCCAGGCCAAAGTGACACACAGCCTTAACCATCACAGCCAATGGCATGTCCGTCTTTCACTTCAGCGTTCTTTCCTGCTGTAGATGTGTTTTGTTAAATTAGTCTCGGAAGAGTCAGATTTACAATTGTAAATGAAAAAAATGTCAGCTAATGACAGAGCTGATAGGTGAGAAGTAAAGGGAGTGTGTGTGTCTGTATGTGTCTGTGTACATACAAATTCCTGGCACTTAACATCCACAATACTTTGTGTGAAATAGGATGACAAGTGATTTGGACAGAGTGGATGTTGTTGTTGTGGTCATCCTCATTGCCACTGCAGCTGCTGCTGGAGGTGCTGGTGGAGGCTGGGGCTCTGGTAATAGCAGCTGTGAGAATGGAGTAAGAAGAAGATAGCGGGGAGGGAACAGAATAGATTCTACCCGTCTACTGTCCCACCCACCTGGCAGCAGAAACAGCCCTGCAGCTGCCATGGCCACTGCCATTGCGGCTATTGCTGCCACTGCTGCCACTACTTGCCACCTGCCACCACCCCCACCACCCCCATATGCCCCTAGTATGAAGCCCAAGAGCCCATGCCCAGAGCCTCTGTCTCCCCTACTTGCATCCCATTCATGGTACAGTGTGCCAGCATCTGGGTTTGCAGTCTTTAAAACTATTGTTGTTAGGTGTTGTCAAGTTGCATACAACTCATAGTGAACCTGAGAACAACAGATCCGAACCCTGTCCTGTCCTTTGCCATCCTCATCATCTTACTGCCACTATGTCAGTCCACCTGGTTGAGGGTCTTCCTCTCTTCGCCATCCCTCCACCTTTCCAGGCATGATGTCCATCTCCAAGGAACAGCCTCTCTTAGCAACGTGCCCCAAACTAATAATAATAAACAAAAGGTAGTAGCTTTCTTTTTAAAAAATTAAATTAAATTAAACAAATCTAGATTAAAAATTTAAACAAAACACTTTTATGGGACCACAGAAGTTTGTGCATATAGTTAGATGTTTGTTATTCAAATGGATATTATGCAACATAAACCTGTATCTCTATCTCTCTCTCTGTGTGTGTGTGTGTGTGTGTGTGTGTGTGTGTGTGTGTGTGTGTGATTAAAGCTGGAAATTTTAAATGTTAATTATCAGCTCAGTTTTGTTTGCTCAGTCAATATCTGATTGCTTAGCTGAAAGGATAAAAGGTAGGAAGTCCTGGAAATCCCACAGTATCACTATTTCTTCAAAAAGGAAAACTCTCATTTACCTGGAGGCAGATTTATCATGGCTCACATGCATCAGGCCTCTGTGATACATCTCCATTCCTATTTTCCCCAAAGAGCTTGATAATGAAGTTGTTGATTGCCAAGCAGTGAAGGTCACAAGAGGCTGCATAGTAACTATATTCACAGAGATCATCTTAATTACTGAGGTTTGGAGGCTCTGCACCAGGATTAATTCCTGTTAACTCACAAAGCAGTTAGTTAATCCATGAGCAGTAGTTAACTATGAAACCACTTACAGATAATTTCACATTCTTACTCTCCTATGTATCAGCTCTAGCATTTTAAGCAAGTTATTTAACCTCTCTGCTTCAGTTCCTGCAAATGTTTAATATAGGAACAATATAATTTATTTCATAGGACTGTTGAGAGGTTATATGAAAATATACTGGTAAAAAAGAGTAGTAGTAGTTGTTGTTGTTATGTGCCGTTGAGAGTACTAGGCACATAGTAAAAATTTAGTAAGCATTCTGTACTCAAGCTCTTAGTGCTATGTATTAGATTTAAATTCATCATATATTTTTAAAATTATTCAGCCAAAAATATCAAAACCAACCAAACCTGGCTTCCACCCAGTTACTGAAACATGAGAACTAAGGAAACATTTATTTCAACACTGATACAACAGAAACTGAAAATAATAGGTTCCCTGTGCTAATGGTTGATTCTGTTGTTGAACTGTGATTTAGGCTGAATAGTTAAAACACAGACTATTAACATCAGTCAGAAGAGGTGTGGTTGGAAGGATCAGAAAACTGCTCTGGCGGGTTTGAGTAAAGGAATTTGATATAAAAGCAGAAGTACAGGAACTAGAACCAGTTTTGGATTAAATGGAAGGTTAGCTTCCAGCTCCTTTCTGAGGGCCCCAGCTCTGCCTGTTGTCTCTGAGTCTCTCCATACAACCTTTCACTGTTCCTTAACTGTTGTCTGTTTAGACCAGCTTCCTCCACATACCCATCATGACCCCCTAAATGGTGACCCTGAGCTTTGAATCCACAGGAGTTCTCAGTTCAAGGAGTTAATGCAAGTTCAGGAAACCAAGTCTGCCTGGCCCCGCTTCAGCCAGGTGTCCATCCCTGGTCTTATCAGTTATGGCCCGGTGGACAGGGTCATGTTGTTATTAAGAACGCTTTCCCAGTAGTGGCTAGGCAGTTTCTCTAAGAAAGTGGGTGCACAATTTCTCCAAAAGGCCTTTGTGCAGTTGCCATTGAGTCAATTCTGACTCATAACAACCCCAAAGTAGTACCACTCCTTTTCAAAGGTGTGCATCAAGGATGCATTCTATCTCCATACCTTTTCAACCTATATGTAGAACAGATCTTTTAGGAGGCTGGACTTTAGGAAGAAGAATGTGGCATCAGGATTGGAGGAAGACACATCAACAATCTGCTATGCAGATGATACAGCCTTGCTTGCTGAAACTGAAGAAGACATGAGGCGTTTACCGCAGAAAGTCATGGACTGTTGTCTTCAATATGAATTGGAGCTCAACATCAAGAAAATGAAGATCCTCACCACTGGGTCAATTGACAACTTCATAATGGAGGGAGAAGAGATTGAGAGTATTGATAACTTCTGCTTGCTTGGTTCCACAGTCAACACTCTTGGCACCAGCAGTCAAAAAATCAAAAGACAAGTCGCATTGGCAAAGTAAGCTGTCTGAGACCTCTCTCAAGTACCGAAGAGCAATGATATCCATTTGGAGATTAATGTGTGCCTCACCCAGGCCATGGTCTTTGCAGTTACTTGCTATCTGTCTGAAAGCTGGACAATAACTAAGGATGACAGAAGAAAGACTGATGCCTTTGAGTTATGGTGCTGGAGATACTGTGTTGAACATACTGTGGACTGCCAGGAGAACAAACAGGACTGTCTTAGAAAGGGTGAAGCCAGGCTGCTCCCTGGAGGCAAGGATTTTTAAGCTTTGTCTCACATACTTTGGGCACGTGGGGAGAAGGAACCAGTCCTTAGAGAAGGACATCATGCTTGGAAGGGTAGAGGAACAACACAGGAAAGGAAGATGAGATGGATTGACTCAATGACTGGATAAATGGGAGGAGGTCTGTTGGAGATGATGAGATTGTCACAGGATAGGGCGGAGTTCATAGCTAATGTACATAGGGTTGCTATGAGTTACAGGCAACTTGATGGCACATAACAACAACACAGCCTTTCAGAACCAAGTCACCAGAACCCACCTTCTGAGGTGCCTCTGAGTGGATTCAGACTGCCAGCTATTCAGCAGGATGGTCAAGTGCTTTACCATTTGTGCTACCTAGGGACTCTCAGCAGGCGTTAGGTATTATTCAGTGTCAATATCTCTTCCAGGCTCCCTCATTGACCATATGGAGAGAGCAAAGCCTCTAAAGACTATGACGTAGGCTATTCACAGGACACTGGTGGCCACACTGAGACTAGAACCTGGACCCCATTCTTGCCTTAAACTACTTCCTCTGAGTGTCCACCATGCTTAGCACAGCAAGTGTTGTTAAGATAACCGTTTTTACTTCAGAACTGCTATTGGAGAACACACCGTGCCTTCATTTTCCACATTTAAAGCCCAACAACACAACCTTAAGAATTCTTTTGACACCATCCTAAATCCTAAAAAGAGAAACATTTTTCTTTTTTTCAGAGGTAAAGGCCTCACTTGTAATGAAGGTCTTTTCTGTGTTACAGATTGCCACCGAGGCAATAGAAAATATTAGAACAGTTGTGTCCTTGACCCAGGAAAGAAAATTTGAATCCATGTATGTCGAAAAATTATATGGACCCTACAGGTAATTAACATATGATTGTTAATTAGAACCTAGCATTTTCTAAGGTCTAATCATTGTTTTCAAAAAGAGCACAAACATTCTAGTGCTACAAATGGATCTAAAGCATTAAGGTACCATTTTTCTAGCAATCATGTACTGAACAGGTAAGTGGCTTTTTTATGCAACTGGGCCACAAGGTTAGATTTTCACATCTCTTATAATAAAGAGTAAGATTAGATCTCCAAGCACTAAAAGGTGGAGGACTGCATAAGCACTTGCCATTGGTGTAAGCAACATAAATGACTCATGTTTCAGGACAAATGTTCTCCCAGAGAATTATTCAAACTATTTTTTTTCTTTGGACTATGTGGATTGAACTGAAGGTTAAATATGTTATTTATCTGTTCTCTAGATAAAGACCAGGGTTGACCCATTCTGAGTACGAAGATCGATGGTCTATCTCACTGGTTTCTCAATTAAAGGAACTTGTTTACAGCCTGGCTTGTTTTAAAAAATGAATCTATTTTAACAAAATTGAACATAACTTAGATTAGTTCTTTGTAGATTGGAACAATATTTTTGAACACACAGATTTGAACAGGACATTTTAAAATTCTCAACTTATTTCAGTTATATGTACTAAATATATGTCAGTATATAGTACTAAAGAAGACTTTTACTTATGGCCAGCAATATTCTATCCATTTGATATTTAACATATGAATGAATATATGTGGACAGTTAACTATGATGTTGCCTTTTATTCTCAACTTCAAAATAATTAAGAATAGAAGTTGAATTATTAACTTGGTTGTAACATAAAGATACAATAGTACTATAAACTTTCCATTAACATTAATAGTCATTACACCATGCTAACAGCACATTAACTGTTTGCATCAATAACACTGTGCAATTTACCTCTTACCCAATGCCTTCCTTCCAATATGAGAGTAAATAAATGAAGGTTTTTCAAGAGTTTAGAGGTCTAATGAAGTATATCATAAAGTCTACTTAGAAATGATGCAAAAGCTTCTAGTATGTGTCTACATAGAACTCACATCCTATTTTGATGAATTTGAAACAGTTTAGGTTTGATATCCAAGATAGTTTTCGGCACCACAAGCATGTTCACAGCAAAGTAGTTGAATATTTGAGTCATTAGTAAATAACATGTAATAAAAAAATAATAATATCTATCACATGAACAATTTCTATGAGCTAGGCACTATGCTAGATTTTTACCTTTTTTTTAATTCTCAAGGAAATTCTGTGTTATACTGATTACTCAATGTATAAGGCATTGTTTCCTAACTGATACTCAGAAGCCACTTACCCAAACTAATACATCTAGAGGCAGAACTCCTACCCAGGTCTCCCAGGTATAGAATATATTTTCCTTCAATTTTTTGCAAAGTGTGCATAATGCACATCGCAGACTAGCATGACACAGAGGAAGAGCTTGGTTTGTAACAGAAAACCCCCTTTTTTATTTAGAATAGGATACACAGTGCTAAAAGAGACTAACAGGTACACAGTGCTGGGAGAAGCTGAAGTGATGGTTACAGATCGCCTTATTTGCTTTTCAGGAATTCTGTGCGGAAGGCACACATCTATGGCATTACTTTTAGTATTTCACAAGCCTTTATGTATTTTTCCTATGCCGGCTGTTTTCGATTTGGTGCCTATCTCATTGTGAACGGACACATGCGCTTCAGAGATGTTATTCTGTAAGTAACTTTAAAAACATGAAGAATATTCCATAATTCCATAGTAGGGTTTCAATAGATCTATACAGAAGTTGAGAGTAGAAAATAAGGTTCATTTCTCTAAGGTAAGGTCCCCAAACCAAACACACTGCTGTCAAGTCAATTCCAAGTCACATGTGACTATCAGATTGTAGAACTGACTCATTAGATGTATATAAATCTTTACAGAAGCAGCCAGCCACGTCATACTCCTATTGAACAGTTACTTGGATTCAGATCACTGAACCCCTAGAATTCTTTAAGGTGAATTTACCAGGCATGGAAATCTAGTCTTGTCAGCACTTCAGTGATCACGTTAATGATCGCACATTCACTCATTGTTGTCAAGTAGGAACTAACTCATAGGTGAAGTTCCACTGGGTCTCAGAGACTATACATTACACAGGGGGAGAATGCCTGTCTTCCTCCCACAGAACGGCTGCTGGATTTGAACTGCCATAAAGTGTGTCTTTGGGTTAAGAGTGCAACTCCTCAAGGACTAGGTAACTAGAACTCCCTATTAATCAAGATGGACTGAAAGCCAAATTCACGAAAATAGTTAGAAACCAGAATTTCAATTATATGTATAATTCCAGTTAGGAAGCCAACAAACTTCCTCATTGTAAAGTATAAGCAAAAAGTGGGGAGCTCTGGTGTTCTAGTGGCAAGAAGTTGCGTTCTAATCCCGAAGGCATGTGGTTCAAATCCACCAGGTGCTCTGCTGGAGAAGGAGAGACAACCTCCTCCAGTGCCTGTTGGATCAGATTTGATGGTATACAACAAGAAAAAAGAAAAGGAGAAGGAGGATCAGGAGGAAAAAGACAATGAGAATGAGAAGACTATATAAGCAAAAAGAAATCACAACAAAGGGTTAAATAGATTTCTGGTTCTCTGCAACTAAAAGATGGTTTTGGCAACTGGATGAAAATACTTGACTGAAGTCTAATAGTCTTTCCCTTGCCAACCCAGGACTATGATGGATCTGTCAGCATTTGCCTCTTTTTTTTATTGTGTTTTCCATGTCTGACCCATAGTTTTACTCATGACCATGTTCTTCTTTCTAAAACATACTAAGGACATTCAGTAGCATTGCAATCTAGTCTTAAATGGGAGAAGCCACTCTTAAAGGTCACTTGACATTACTTCTGCTGTGATGGGATGCTTTTAGAGCAGTTGTTGTTGTTACATGCCTTCAAGTCACCTGCAACTCATAGCGACCCTATGTACAACAGCTCTGAATCCTGCTCTGTCTTGAGACAATTTCATTGTTTCTGAGACTTCTACCCCCATTTCCCTAGTCACAGAGTCAATCCATCTCATGCAGGGTCTTCCTCTCTATATCTTTTTTTTTTTAAATACTAGTTTATTTACAAAATTTAAATACATTGATTTTGAGAACAGATTCTTCCAATTTTCTTCTCCTCCCCATCAAATTGTATAACCCCATGATTAATCTCCTCCTCCCCCTATATATACATCCTCATCCTTCTGGTTCCACCCTCTCCCACCCCGCTTGAATCCTTATACTTATTCTATAATAAGAGTTTTATACAGTATTTGTCCTTATGGGACTGAGTTCACTCAGCATAATGCTCTCCAGTCCCTCTCAAGTTAGGAAATAATTACAAAAGCATTGCTCCGGCATGCTGTGTAGTATTCCATTGTGTGAATTAGACTTGGAAGTTTAATGAGGTAAATTTTATTTTTAAATTCTTCATTTAAGTGAAATTTTATTTTTAAATTCTTCATTTCTAAGTAGCAAAAGTTGTTTCCCCTTTCCTAGGAAGAGCACTAGTATTAGAAGTAAATAACTTTATGAAAATTATACTGTCACAGTTATTGGCTCTTTATAATTGCTCTTATAATTCTTTATAGAGCTATAGTTCACAAATAGACCTTTAACCCGATAACTATGTTTCAGATAGTTGCAATAGTTATTTTATTAGTAAAGAAAGTCTTTTTCAAGTTAAGACTTATTTTCTCTAGTAAGAATATGTTGTTGTTGTTGTTATTGTTGTTGTTGTTGTTGATTACCTTTGAGGTGAGCAGGACTCGTAGCGACCCTATGAACAAAAGGCCTGAAGCCCCTCTACAACTACCAACATTTATCAAGGTTCATAGAGTTTCCCGAGGCATGTTATTTAAGAAGTGGATGTCACTCCTGCTTCCAAAGTAAGACTATAGAGATGACTATTATTTATGACCATTTGTGAGGTTGGCTCAAATTCAACTCATTGCCATCGAGTCAGAACTGACTCACAGTTGACCCTCCAAGTTTTCGTAGATTGTCAATCACACGGGAGATTACCCGTCATTTTCCTGTGGTTACCTGTCATTTCCAGCTGCTGCTGGATTTGGACCTCCAGAGAGGTGTCACCTTTGAGTTAGCAGTGCATCTACCTACAGTTGGTGCCACCAGAGCTAGTGTAGAAGAAATCACAGACCGGAAGTCTGGGCTGTAGACTCCTTGCTGGGACTGATGGAGCTTCATCGCACTGTGCTTCAATTCCTAGTCTCACCAGCTCTAGAAAGGGTGAGCTGCTAAAATCACATGAGATTATAATTTAGATTCAGCTATAAACCGCTGCCTGGAAGTGAACTTTGAGAAGTTATTTAATACTAGGGAATAAGAGACACCACAGGAACACAATAAGGTAAACAGAGAAAAAGCAAGTAAATAGAGAAAAAGTAAACTGACTCCTATTCCTTTTGTTACTGAATTGTTATGAACGTTGAGGGTGATGGAGAAAGAGGGTTAATGATTAAAGGTATAATAAAATGTAAAAAGGGATAATTTCAGGGGAAAAAAGTCACAAAAATTGGGAAATAGTGATTTGGGATTTTCAAGCATCCTAGATTAAATTTTTTAAAAATTCTCTACTTCTGTTTAGGATTTTGTTTGTTTTGTATTTTGTGAGTGACGATTTTTTTTTTTTAGAGTTTTTTCAGCAATTGTATTTGGTGCGGTAGCCCTTGGACACGCCAGTTCCTTTGCTCCAGACTACGCCAAAGCCAAGTTGTCTGCAGCCCATTTATTTATGCTGTTTGAAAGACAACCCTTAGTTGACAGCTACAGTGAAGAGGGACTGAAACCTGTGAGTTCTCTGCTAAAGCTGATGAATGCTTAATGCTTAATTCCCCCCTCCCCCCAAGGTTTGGAGGGGCCAACTCTTGGAAAAAGGTGAAGGGTCAGAGAAAGATGAAGATCCTCAATGAGGTGAATTGGCACAGTGTCTGTAGCAATGAGCTGGAGTGTATCAGAGATGGTGAGGATGACATAGCATAGGCCAAGTTCAGATCTATGCGTGGTAGTCAACCCGATGGCATCTAACAACATTTGCAGCTAAAGGATATGCTTGTGGTAATTAACTTGATATATGTTTAGCTAACTTTGTGATACTCATCTAGTTAACATTTAGCCTATTTTCCTGTTGTTTATAATGTCCCATAAACAACTAGCAGAGTATTTTGTATATCAAGCATTTAGTAAATGTCTAACTTGCACTTCATCATTTCATAGGCAGTTTCAAGGACTCTGAAGTTTAACAAATCAAAAGTTGAAAAAAAAATCTGTACTGAAACTGCATGAATTCCCAGGAAAATTATCAGTCATTTCTACATGAAAGTATATGTATATAATTTTGTCTGGTAAATGCTGTTAGCAGTTTGTCCTTAGCTATCACAGTGTGTAATGGTTGTGTTATAAGGAAATAAATCTCTTCACACTGAGGATAATAATCCTATACTATCTGCAAATTTAACTCGGATCTGAGGTGGTATCTTGCTTGGTGATTTGTTGTGTGTTTTTTTATACTACACGAGTTGTTGCCCGTTTTAACTGTAGGATAAGTAGGATGAGTAAAGAATTGAGATGTTCTCAAGGTTTGACCAGGTATCCCATGTTCTGAGCTAATTCCTGAGCCTGGCGATCAAGAAAAAGAGGCTCTCAGGACTTGATATGAAAGCTAAATGTGAACTGCTAGTGAATTCCCAAGCTTTTTGAATCACTGAGAGAAAACTGCTACTGGCTTTTGCCCACTGGCTTAGTTCCAGCCTTGGATTCACTGATTAGGAATTCTTAAATGAACCAGAAATTGCATTTCAGTAACAATTCTCTATAATAAAACTTTTCTCTAATCTGATGAGTAGCCTCTATCTCCCATCTTCGTTTTGTATTATTACACATGCCATCAATATTAACTGCTTCCAGCACTGTCCTATACTTAGTTTTTAATTTTCTCTTCTCAGTCTTTGGTGAAGTTTCCTGGAAATAATACTCATTACTCCGGTAATACCAGACCAGTGTTGATAGTAGCACTTAGTTTGGTTTTTTTTTAAAAGGAGAAGTTTGAAGGAAACATAACACTGAAGGACGTCGTCTTCAACTACCCTACCCGGCCCAATGTCCCTGTGCTCCAGGGCCTGAGCCTCGAGGTGAAGAAGGGCCAGACCCTGGCCCTGGTGGGCAGCAGTGGCTGCGGGAAGAGCACGGTGGTGCAGCTCCTTGAGCGGTTTTACGATCCCAAGGCTGGGACAGTGGTGAGCACATTTTATTATGCACCTGATATAAAGTCATATTTTACACTATCACTGCAATTGAGAAACTGGGATATCTAATTTCTAATCCTACTTGGCTCAATGACCACATTACATAAACTCCAAACTAGCACCCACCACCAGATAAGAATGTGGAACTGTAGGGTAAAACAGCTGGCATTAACTCTAATCCAGAAAAGACAGGATAGAACGCTTACTTCTGCCCTGCCATGGGTCTTCCAAGCATGCTCTTGTTTAGGGAGCACTGGTGGCTTTAGTGGAAAATAGTTGCACTGTCAAATCAAGGTCATGCGTTTCAAACCTTCCAGCTGCTCTGTGGGTGAAAGATGGGAAATCTCCTCCTGTGTGATTTACTGCCTATAAAAACCTGCTGGAGGGTCAGCTATGGGAAAGTTCCAACCTGAACCACTGTTAAAACAATACTACAACAGGAATTGTATGTTTATAGAGAGAGCAAGACTGCACTCTTTGTACCAGCTCCTTCTCTTGTGGCCTTACTTACTTGAAAGAAGCTATGTTTTTCATTATTACTTCACAAGACTCCTCTAGAAGCTCCATGCTTTCTAATTACAGCAAACAGAAACAATCAGAACTATGAAGAGTAAAATTCTGTTCTCCAGGACATTGCCTTTTGAACTTGTTTACTTCCAACTGAACTCCTGTCTTACATAAAAGTAGGGAAAGGCTTATGGCTGGTGATTTTTATGGTGAAGAGAGGCAGGGCAGGAGAAAGCAAAATTTTAAAATGTGAGGGCTCTGCTTTTGATGCCTTTTTCTTCTGGTGAGCCTGCATAGGGGTTATGATCACCCAAAGGACAGCAGATTAGGGTGGGACATTCTTTTTTTTTGCCCCCCCCATTCTGATGGTTGCAGCCTTTTTTTTTAATATTCATTGTTGCACATTTTAATGTAGACTTTTTAAAAGCGAAGAATGGCACAGATGCAAGGTGTGTTAAAGATAAGATGAAAGATATGAATGTAGAAAATCAAGGCCATGTTTACTGGAAAGTATTCCACTGTTTTGCAACCTAGGTTAAGACAAGGAAGGCACAGTCACTTCCAGAATCATCTTGTTGTTTTGGCCTGCAGCGATGTAAGTGCTTGGAAGTCCTGAGGTTTGATATTTCATAACTGCTGTTACTTACGTGCAGAAGGTCCTCAGGATGGTTAACCTGCTAATCTTTTATTTAGTTCTCTCTCTCTTTTCTCCCCCCTTTTTAAACTGCTTTTATCATTTATGGACTTTGGTTTTCAGCTCCTGGATGACCAAGAAGCAAGAAAACTCAATGTACAGTGGCTTAGAGCTCAAATTGGAATCGTGTCCCAGGAGCCTATACTGTTTGACTACAGCATTGCTGAAAACATTGCCTATGGAGACAACAGCCGGGTTGTGTCACATGATGAAATTGTGAATGCTGCCAAAGCAGCCAACATACATCCTTTCATTGAGACGTTACCCCAAGTAAGCTCTCTATCTGGTAACTTTGTGGGCTAAAATCAGAATCAGATGCAAACTGTCTTTATTTCCAAAATTGTTCTGCAGCCCTATCTTGTAACAGAAGTTCACTGATTAGTATTTTGACTTTAGACAAGGTACATCATTTTATGATAGTAAGTTTGTCCCTAACTCATGAGAAGCCTGTACAGTGATATGTGTCTAAAAACCTTGTTGTTGTTGTTGTTAGGTGCCATTGAGTCATCGACAACTCATAATGACCCTATGAACTAAGAAATTGAACTCTGCCCGTTCCTGCACCACCCTAATTATTTCTGTTATATTTGAGTCCATTGTTACACTTTGTTCGTCCATCTTGTTGAAGGTCTTATCTTTCACTGACCCTCCTCCTTTCCAAGCATAATGTCCTCCTCTGGGGTTTGGATTGGCCCCTACTAACAATATGTTCAAAGAATGTGAGACAAAGCTTCACTGTCCTTGACTCCAGGGAGCAATTTGTTTCACCTTCTCCAAGACATATTTTTTTTTCTTTTGGAAGTCTATGAATTATACTCTTCTCCAACACCACAACTCAAAAGCATCAATTCTTCTGTCGTCTTTATTTATTGCCCAACTTTCAGAGGCATAGCAAGTAATTGAAAAGACCCTGGCTTGGATCAGTTGCACCTTAGTGTTTAAACTGATATCCTTTAACACTTTGGAAAGGTCCTTGACAGCTTATTTTCCCAACACATTGTCTTTTGATTTCTTGACTGCTTTACCAAGGGTGTTGATTGTGGATCCATTTAAGATGAAATTGTTGATAATTTCAACCTTTTCACCAATCATGATATTGCTTATTGGCCCATTGGTGAGGATTCCGTTTTCTTGATGGTGATATGTAGTCCATTTTGAAGACTGTAGTATTCTGTCTTCTGCAGTAAGCATTTTAAAGTCCTCCTTACTTTCCACAAAGTTGTCATCTGCATAATACAGTTTGTTATTGAGACTTCCTCCAATCTTGATGCCACATTCCTCTTCATAAACTCTAGCTTCTTGAGTGAATTGTCCAGCAGAAAGATTGAATAGGTTTTGAGAAAAGATACAGTCCTTTAGCACACTTTAATTTTTTTTATTTTATTTATTTTTCATTTCAATGAACATCTACAGAAATTTTGGAATTCCATTTATTCATTGTTGCACCCCTCCCCCCCCCCCCGTTTGCTCCTCTCCTTGAAAAGCAAAAGAAAAACTCCCTCATTGGTACGTAATCCCACACACACATCCCCCAATCCCCAAATATAATCCACTCTGCAACCCTCATTCCGTACTCTTACGATAAACATAATGCCCTAAAATATACTTTTAAACTATTCTCTCTCTCATAGACTTCAATGCAGTAAACATAATTTATCCAGTTTTTCTCAGTCTTACCCCCACCCCAATGTCAGCATCATTCTACAACAGTGGCACCCTATAGCATTTGTCCCTTTGTGACTGAGATACCTCACTCAGCATCATGTCCTCCAGGGTCACCCATTTTGAATAATATTGCATGAGTTCCTTGTTTTTCAATGCAGCATAGTATTCCATTGTAGCACACTTTATTTTAAACTAGTGTTTCCTTGCTCTTTTTGGACAACAGCTTCCTGGTCTAGATACAAGTTTTATATGAGCACAATTAGGTGTCTGGGATTCCCAGTCTTTTCAGTGTTACACATTGTTTGTCAGGATCCAGACTGTCAAATACCCCTGCTTCTTTTCCCAAAATCTGCTACTAAATCTGCTCAATTAAGTGGCAAGACTAGCTGATCCCTTGTAGATAGACTAACACACCCTACCCACACATTCCTACCTATCCACATGGCAAAGCCAACTCAATGGCTAGGAAAGCCATTTTAAACAATAAACCCTAACACCAAAATTACCACTGGCTCTTTAGCATATGGTACTTCCTGTAATTTTACAATGTCAACCAGTTCTCTGCACAGTGACTGTGTATTTCTTCCATCTTCTTTTGACGCTTCTTGACTCATTCAAGATTTTGCCCATAGCACCCTTCAGAATTGCAACTCAAGGCTTGAATTTGTTTTTTTTTTCAGTTCAGCTTGAGAAATGCCAAATGGGTTCTTCTCATTTTATTTGCTAACTCCAGCTCTTTGCACATTTCATATAACACTGTTTTCTCCAGCTGCCCTGTGAAACCTTGTGCTCATCTCTGTACTTTGCCATTTCTTCTGTTTTGACTCCTCAATTTTCAGTTTCTTCTGATAACCATTTTGATCTTTTCTTTCTCCCTTGTCTTTGTAATGACCTTTTCTGTGCTTTGTGGATGATATTCTTAATGTCATCCCATAATTCGTCTGGTCTTCGATCATTAGTGTCCAATGCCTCCAATCTATAGGTTGTATTCAGTGTGCAGTCATATTTGGTTTAGTCTTATGGTACTTTTAAAAATTCATTTTAGATAATTACATATTCCCATGAATTTATGAGGAGTAATACAGATATCTTATATACTCTAGCCAGTTTCCTCCACACAAACTACAGTATAATACCACAACGAGGATAATGGCATTGATAGAATGTCTGCTCTTACTCTGCTTTCCCCATTTCTACTTGAAGTTGTGTGTGTGTTCATATACGCCTCTCTTGAAAGTTTCATTACCAAACATTATGCATTCATGACTTAGTAAAAAAAATCTAGTTACCTTAAAGTCAGGTAAAGACTTGTGTGGTTATTTCTTCTTTCTCTACATTTTGTTTTACAACATTACAGTTGATTAATATAATTAATTATAATGATGGTGCATAACAACAACAATGAAAATATGTGTTGCCTTTCCCTGGGTTAATGTTGTTGCTGTTATGTGTTCTCGAGTAGGAACTGACTCATAGGGGACTCTCCGTTGGGTGTTCAGAGGCAGTAAATTGCACAGAAGACTGCCCTGAATTCTCCCACAGAGCAGCTCATGGATTTAAACTTCTAACTGGGATATTAGGTCACTAGTCTTAATTCTTGAGTTTTAAGAGTTCTTTTATGTTCTAGATGCTAGCATTTTGTCAGATACATAGATTGCAAACATTGTCTCAGTTTAGTTTTTCATCTTTTTAATAGATTCTTTTCAATTATTTTAAAACCTTTTAATGAATTCTTATTTATTTATATTTTCTCTCCTTGTTATTTTTGTGTCCATCCTAATAAGTCTTAAGTCTTTAATCACTAGCTCCTAAAGTTTTTCTACATTTCTTTAAAAGTTGTATAGCTTCATGTTTTACACATTTAATCTTCTAATCTGTTTTGAGTTAATTTTTGAGGTTCTGGTTTTAGGTTGGGGTGTGTGTGTGTGTGTGTGTGTGTTCATTTTATTCCTTTGAAGGGTATTGCCACCTTTTTCTAAAACTTAGTCCTTCCTTTTAGCTTATACCCAGCCTGTTTACACATTTCTTTCATTTGCTTGACATTTGAAGGCATTCAATTCCTCACTACTACACTATACCATACCAATTCAATCTGTATGCAGAGCAAAGTATCCAAGAAACTGAACTCTATGAAGATAATTGGAAGGAGACTCATCAATAACCTGCATTATGCAGATGGCACAACCTCACTTGCTGGAAGCACTTGTTGCAAAAGATCAAGGAAAGCAGCCTTCAGTTATGGATTGCATCTCAATGTCAAGAAGACAAAGATTCTTACAACTGGACCAATAGGCAGCGTCATGATGAATGGAGAGGAGATTGAAACTGTCTTCAGCTTCATCTTGCTTAGATCACAATTAATACTCTTGGTACCAGCAGTCAGGAAATAAGGAGACACATTGCACTGGGAAAATATGCAGTTAGCTACCTCTACAAATTATTCAATAGTGATGTCAGTTTGAGGACTAAGGTGCGTCTGACTCAGGCCATCGTCTTTCTAATTATTTGCTGTGCATCTGAGAGCTAGATAGTCTTGGGAAAGGGGCAGCCGTCGTGCTCATCAAGAATGATGAAGCACATACTTTGGGCATGTTGCTGGGAGGGGCTGTTCCTTGGAGAAGGATATTATGTTGGGAAGGGTGGAAGGTCAGTGAAAGAGAGGAAAACCCTCAACCAGGTGGATTGGCATGATGACTGCTGCAATGGGCTCTTGTGTGTCAGGAAGTGTGAGGATGGCACAGGATATATAGAAGCATTCAGATAATTTGTTCATAGGGTTGCTATGAATTGTACTCAACTCAGCAGTGCCTAAAACAGCAGCATTCTACAATACCACTAATATCAGATGCAAACAAAATCCTGCTGATGATTAAAAAACATCCAGGGGAGTACATCAACAGAGAACTGCCAGAAGTGCAAGCTGGGTGTATAAGAGGCTATGGCATCAGGGACAATATATCCAATGTCAGATGAATCTTGGCTGCAAACCAAAAGTACCAGAAGAATGTCTGTTTCATTGACTATGCAAAAGCATTTGACTGTGTGGCTAACCTTGAGAAGAATGGGAATCCCAGAAAACCCAATTATGTTCATGTGAACCCTATACTTGGTCCAGGAAGCCGTTGTCAGAACAGAACAAGGAAACATTGCATGATTCAAAATCAGAAAAGGAGTTTTTCAGGAATGCATCATGTCTCCATACCTTTCCAGTCTTTATGTGGACAAGATCTTTTGGGAGGCTGGAGATTATGAGGAGGAATATGGTATCAGGGAAGATGCATCAACAACCTGTGCTATGCAGATGACACAACCTAGCTTGTAAAACTGAGGAGAGCCTGAGCATCTCCTCAAGAAAGTCTAGAACTGCAGTCTCCAATATGGATTGAAGCTCAACATCAAGAAAAGAAATATTCTTGCTCTTTGGCCAATTGGTAGCAACATAATAGAGGGAGAAGAGATGGTGTTAACAACTTTAGCTTGCTCAGTTTCACAATCAAAACTCTTGCCGTCAGTAGTCAGGAAATCAAAAGACAAATTGCATGAGGTAAGCCTCCTGCCAGGGACCTCTCCAGAGTGCTGAGAAGCTATGGTGACATTCTGGACACTAAGGTGTATCCGAACCAGGCCATGGTCTTTGCAGTTACTTGCTAGGATGATAGAAAGAAAATCAATGCCATTGTGGTGCGCTGCTGGAGAAGATTATTGAACATACCATCACCTACAAGAGAGTAAACAAGTCTGCCCGAGAGAGGGTGAAACCAGATTGCTCTTTGGAGGCAAAGATTTTGAAGCTCCATCTCACTTTGGGCATATTGCTAGGAAGGACCAGTCCTTGGAAAAATTCATCATGCTTGGAAGGGTGGAGGGACAGCACAGGAGAGGATAACCATGGAAGAGATGGACTGACACAGTAACTGGGGTTATTGGGTTGGTGTGTCAGAGACAGTGAGATTGGCTAAGAATAGGGCAGGATTTAGAGCTGTTGTGTATAGAGTTACTATGAGTCACATGCGATTTGACAGCCATGTAACAACTAGGTTTTGGGAAATTAATATAATGTACATTATTGCATAAGCCCTAGGAACTAAAATGACTCCATCGGCACTTTTATTCATTTTATGCTCTTGACCTGAAATGCTCTCTCTCAAAGTCCAACATCCCAAACTCCTGTACAAAGACTTCTTTCATATACTTAAACCCCTTCTCATCTCTACCATATCTATCTCCCTTCCTGGTCTTGCATAACATGTTGTGTCTACTGTTCATTTGCTACATACTTGACCTTTTATTGAGTGATTTTAAATTCCTTCAGGGTAGAATAAAGCTGAATTCATTTTTGTTTTTACCACAGTTCTTGGCATAGCAGATAATTCACTTGAGTGAATAAGCTTTGGAAGACAGTAAACTAGTCTCTGTGTGATTATTTCAAGGAAAACAATTGTCAAAACACTGAAAGCATTAATATTGATCTTTAGGATTCCAGCAGCATCTGATCCATTGGCATTATGTTAATGACAAGAATTTGAGAATTTATAAAATTTCTGTTGTAGAATACATTGAAAGTTACAGCCACTAGTCTTCTAGTTTGACTTTATACTCCGTCAAATTGGAAAAAATATTGTCTAGTTGATAGGACCATTTTGTATTTCTTTTTTTATGGGCTAATTTTTGCTGGGATATGAATGAAAGTCTGCAAAGCAACTGCATTTTCCACTCAAGCATTCATACACATTTTGGTTTATGGCTTTAATAACACACAATGCAGTCACAGTCTTCCCCATCCCTCCTTGTAACTCATTTCCATGAATCCCTCTCCCTCTGTCCTGTCCCTTCCTGCCTTCTGTGCTTTATCCTCAAGGGAAACATTGACCTTCTGACCTTTCCTGTTGGGTTTTTCTGAGACGTGAGTACCAGAGAACCTTGTGGTGTTATTCACTTTACACATCTGCTGTTTGGCTCAAAGTTGGGCCATGGGCATTTTGTTCCAGATTCAAAGGATGACGGAGGGCCATAATTTTGGGGGTTCCCACCAGTCTCAAACCACTAAGCCTAGTCTTAAAAATTTTTGAGTTTTACATGTTCCCCACTCTATTCAAGGTCTTCTACTCTGATCCCATTTCGGGTGGTCAGATGGTGTCTGCCAGCCTGTGTTGGTCCCAAGCATAGTCCTTTTTCACCTGTCCATATCTGCTATGCTGTTGTTGTGTACTGTCAAGTCAGAACCGAACCAAAGCTGACGCTCCAGTGGTTTTCAGAGGCAGTTAACCGCACGGGAGGAGTTTACTCATCCTTCTCTCACGGAGCAGCTGGTGGCTTTGAACTGCGTGCCTTTGGGATTGCAGCGCAGCTTCTTGCCACTCGGCCACCAGAGCTCCCTATATCTGCTTTAGATTCACATTTAAGATTAGTGATGTTGCAAGCTTCATGTATGTAATGGTATTTTGCTTTTGTAGATTGTATTTCTTGTGAACCTTTTTCTGTTTCCCCTTTCTTTCATGGTACCGAGCTGCCCCCCCCCCTTAGTGAATATTGCTTACCCTTCATCTATCTTTACGTATTGATTTACTAATTTTCACCTCCCTTTTTCTCCTTACTGTGGGAGCCATTTAAGGATGATTCTGTGTTAAGCATTCTTTCGTTTTTAGACCATGTGTTTGACTATAATTATTTTTTTTCATGTAAACAGAACTGGCAAACATTAAAAGCTGGTTCACTATACCATTAGTAATTTTTCTAGATTACAATTAACTTTGTCAAATGACAAACTTACAGAAATATGAAACTCGAGTGGGAGATAAAGGGACGCAGCTCTCAGGAGGTCAAAAACAGAGGATTGCTATTGCCCGGGCCCTCATCAGACACCCTCAGATTCTTCTGCTGGATGAAGCTACATCAGCTTTGGATACAGAAAGTGAAAAGGTGGCGTAGCACACCCTACTCCATGTCTCATCTAATTTATGAATAATTTTGTTCTGTCAGCCAAGGCTGTGTGTGTGTGTGTGTGTGTGTGTGTGTGTGTAGAGGGGGGAAGTAAATATACAAAAAAAATTAACAAAGTTATTGCATTAGTAGCCTATTTTATTTTATTCCTTACAGTATTTTTCACCTTTCCTAAAATGGACATGCAGTACTTATGTGAAGAGAAAACAAAAATTAAACATTAAATATAGAAATGTGTATGAAACCACATTTTTAGCACCTTATAAAACAAAAAAGTTGGGAAATTAGATTTTCGACACAAGGGAACTAATTTAGCCCGCCCCCCCCCCCAAAAGCTGATGGTTTATTGGTAAGAAGCTGTGCTGTTAGCCTAAAGGCATGCAGTTCAAATCCATCAACTGCTCCAAGGAAAAAGATAGGCTGTCTCCCCCTATACGATTTGTAGCCTCTGAAAACCCACTAGAGGATCAGCTATGTGTATCAACTCAATGGTACATAACAGCTCTGGTGGCCTGGTGGCAAGAAGCTGTGCTGAAATCCCAAAGGCATGTAGTTCGATACCAACAGATACTCTTCAGGAGAAGGATGGGCCAGTCTCCTACTGTGCAGTTAACTGCCTCTGAAAACCCACTAAAGGGTCAGCTGTGGGTCAGCTCCAACTTGACAGTACACAATGGTAGTGGTTAGAAAGCTTTACTTTTGGTGATTATGTGCAGCATGAGAATTAGTTTCTATTATAATTAAACAGAGCATAACTAATTGACAAAATTATAAGGTGAGCTTTGGTGGCCTAGTAATAAATTGCTCTGGCAACCTAAAGGTAAATGGTTCAAATCCACTACCTGCTTTGTGGGGAAAAGATGGACAGTCTCCTCTATTAACTGCTATGCCATTAACTGCTTCTGAAAACCCACTGGAGGATCAGCTACGGATGAATTCTGACTTGGAAATATATAATAGCAATAGATAAAACGGGGGGAAAGGAAAAAATTCAAAGAGATTCAAACTGATAACCACTGTCAAGTTGGAACCAACTCACCAGGGCCCCTCCAGGGAGTTTTCAGAGTCTGTAAATCACTCAGGAGGAGACTGTTCATCCTTGTCCCTTGGAGCAGCTGGTAGATTCGAACTGCCTGCCTTTAGATGGACCACACAACTTCTTACCCAGTGGGCAACCAGAGCTCCCTTCTAAGAGATTAGGAAACAGTTAACCTGTTGTTGTGTGCCATCGAGTCACTTGCGACTCATAGCGACCCTATGTACAACAGCCCTAAACTCCGCTCTGTCCTGTGCCAATCGCACTGTCTCCGACACTCCCATCCCAATTATCCCAGTCACTGAATCATTCCACCTCATAGAGGGCCTTCCCCTCCTGCACTGTCCCTCCACCCTCCCAAGCATGATGTCCTTCTCCAAGGACCAGTATCTCCTAGGATAGGAAAATTTGTAGTTTCCTTCAGTGTTCTATTTATACAATATTTAAATAAATCTTGTCTTGGGGAGCTCTGGTGGCCTAGTGGCAAGAAGCTGCACTGCAATCCCAGAGATATGTGGTTCGAATCCACCAGATGCTCTGCTGGAAAAGGTGGGGCAATCTCCTCCTGTACCTGTCGGATCTGATTTGACGGTACACACACAAAAAATAAAAATTAAAAAAAAAATCTTGTCTTATTACTAGATTGTCCAAGAGGCCCTGGACAAAGCCAGAGAAGGGCGCACCTGCATCGTGATCGCTCACCGGCTCTCCACCATCCAGAGCGCGGACCTCATCGTGGTGTTTCAGAACGGCAAGATCAAGGAGCAAGGCACACACCAGCAGCTGCTGGCACAGAAAGGCATCTACTTTTCCATGGTCAATGTTCCAGTTGGGACACAGAACTTAGAAACTTGTGACAGTGTACCTTAGAAATAAATTTAAAGCATTCTACAACATTTTTTTTAAGACTATAAAAGAAGTCATCATGAAATACAGGTATTCTCCCAGATTTAGAACTTTCAATTTGGCACTGGATATTACAGCATTTAAAATGTGAACTGACCACTGTCTTAAGGAAACATGAAACTATCAGCCTAGCTTTTCCCTAAATTGTCACCAAAAAAGAAGAACCAAGTTCAAGTATAAACATCTAGAAGGAATGGAGGTCCCAGACATAGGGATAATTCTCGTGGTTCTGAGCGGGTGAGTAGATGGTTTGGGGAACATTTTGTCAGATATTAAAATTGTTGAACACCCTTGTCTCTCCCTTCATAAGCTTCCAAATTACTACACTGATACTGACTATATTATGGGAACTGAAGTTTTTTAAAAAGAATGTATTTCATGTTTACCTTGGAAGTTAAATAGAAGATGAAATACTTGTTAGGGTAGGTAACTTTGTAAGAATACCCTTTATTTTATAAAGCAAAAAGGTTTTATTGGAGAAAAAATGTTTAAAAGTCATTCATTTAGAATGCACATGTTCTCTCTTAATGCAACATGAAACCTGAGAGGGTCCGTAATAAAATGCTGAGTATCTTTAGCAGCTGCATCATTTCTACGTAACATCCTAATTTTCCCTGAAAATCAACCCACATAATTCTGTTTGTAATTATGTTTTGTATATAATTGTAATTATAGAATTATAGGAACAAAATTCTGTTTACATAGAGAATACTAGGCAGGTCTTGAAAGCTAACCACATAGAATTGTTCTAACAAGTTGTTGAACTCAGCAACTGTCCAAACGAAGTTCTTTGGTTACAAACCAATTAACACCAAAGAATTTACAAATGTGACTGAGTGCTTATGTGGTCTGAATTCACATTAACTGAGAAAACGAAGGGCATAGTGACTCAAAATAAGCAGAATTCAACCCACTCTGGTAATTATTCCTGAACTTGCCTGGTAAGGATCACAGGGCATTTGCCCCCTGGAAATTCTGTTTTAGTTGGTCTGGGCTGAGGTCCAGGAATCTGTGTTTTCAATAAAACGCTGCAAGGTGGCTTTTAACTTAAACAAGGAAATGTGTTCAAACATGAATGAGAAGAGATCTCTGCAGGAGATAATGCAGTTTCCAAAATTACCCAACACTAGAAATGATTTAAAACCCATCGATCACAATTGAACATAGAGTACTACACTCATGAGGAAACAGGGCCTTAGATCTGACTGTTACTATTTTGTTGTAACTGTAAAGGACACCAAATGGCAGAGACATCAACTCCGCCACCTGGTTTCACAAGAAACTGTAGTTTATGTCTTAGGATAGTACCCGATTCAACTTTAAGGGCTAAGGAAAGTGTAAGTATGATTAAGGAGCCCTGGTGGGATGGTTCCTCTCTGCACTGGGCTGCTAACAGGTCAGCAGTTCAAATCCATCGGCTGCTCTGTGGGAAAAGATGGGAAGTCTCTGCCTATAAAGATTTAAGTCTTAGAAATCAACTAAGTGTTCTTATGAGTTGAACTTGACTCAACAGCACTGGTTTATTGTGATTAACAGTAATTGTAATAGACCAGATCTATCAGATCTAAAGCATATGATGAGAAGGGTGAGTATGTACTAGCACACTAAATGGACTGTTAAATCTTTACATCAAAATGTGTGGCATATTGTTACCAAAACGCACTCCCCCTCAAGAAATAATTCCCTTTTGTAAAATGACCTTGAAGCTGCTTCTATGAAGAGACTGTTCCCACTGCCTCCAACTCTCAGAATCAAGGGTGGCGCTGTGACCTGATGACTAGAATAAGGCAGAGAGTAGTCCTCAACAGGCCTTGCAACTCCTACCTTCATCTATTTGAAAACTTTTACCATCAAGTAAGGAAAACTTCTAGAATACGGAATTATCAGTGACCACATAGAGAGATGACCTTGACATCAGCCCTTCAGACTTGTGGACCAAGCTTTTTCAGACCTTCTCACATCAGCTGAGAAGCCTCCAAAACACAGCCATATAAATCCTCAAGCAAAATCAACAGAAGAACCCCCCAGATAGAACAATTAACCAGCACAATCAAGTGAATATGTTGTTTTAGATTATGTTTTGGCTTATTACACAGCACTAGACAATGGGGATCAAATGGCCTAAGATCAAACAGAAATGGATCACTTATTCAGACACTTAACAAAAATTATTTGTCTTTTTACTTGTTTCTGTATAACAATTATAGTGTCTGAAAGAATAACTATAGAACTGAATACAGAGCAAAGGTTAAAAACTTGAGATTATGACTCAATATTTAAACCTTTAAAAGTCACTAGCCAAAATCTTTTTAAATAGGCACTTTATACTCACAAGACAAATTTCAACATCAATCTAGTATTAAGGATTTTATTAGGGTTGCTTTGTGCTTCTGCACTACAACAAAATTTCTAGGTCCAACAGAAACAATTTTTAATATTATAGTGCTCTCTCCCATCAAATATAGTTAGCTTGCATCTCTGTGGTAAACAGGTAAGGCAAGGATTTAAGGGGAACTAGCGTCCAATTGTATTTCATGCCCTTTGGAAACTAGAAAGTATTAAAGTGCTTGTTTGAACAATGTACTCTACAATGCTACTCAGATGATTTATAACTTGTACAGGTACCAAAACAAGTATCTTAAAATTATAGTCAGAATTGAAACTGCTGTATTTTATAGTTTTGCATTGTTGAGGCATATTTTAAATGTTGAATGGTTCTCGATTTCAATGTAGCATAATTTTCACCGCTGCCACATCAGAGGAAGCATAAACACAGTGCCAACCTATGTGCCAGAATACAGACACTGGGCAGGATTCTTCTAATTTCTGGATCTAACAGTTTCCTGGAAGTCAACACCTCTTTGCATCTCTTATGACCAAGCTATTTCCAGCACCCAGTTTAATGACATTTTGGTACACGAGTTGTTGTTAAGTGCCGTCAAGTCGCTTGTGACTCAGCGACCCTATGTACAACAGCCCTAAACTCTGCTCTGTCCTGTGCCAATCGCACTGTCCCTGACACTCCCATCCCAATTATCCCAGTCACTGAATCAATCCACCTCATAGAGGGCCTTCCTCTCCTGCGCTGTCCCTCCACCCTCAAGCATGATGTCCCTCTCCAAGGACTGGTCTCTCCTCACATGTCCAAAGTATATTAGATGGAGCCTCAGAATCCTTGCCTCCAAGGAGCCACCCGGTTTAACCCTTTCCAGGACAAATCTGTGTTTTCCTAGCAGTCCATGGCACTCTCAATACTCTTCTCCAGCACCACAGCTCAAAGGCATCAATTCTCCTTCTATCCTCCTTGGTCACTGTCCAACTCTGATGCATAACAAGTGATTGCGAAGACCATAGCCTGTATCAGATGCACCTTAGTCTCCAGAGAGACACCATTGCTCTTCAGTACTTTGGAGAGGTCCCTAACAGCAGATTTTCCCATGGCAATGCACCTTTTAATTTCCTGGCTGCTGGTGCCAAGAAATCTGGAGAACGACCACTTGGCCAACTGACTGGAAGAGATCTATATTTGTTCCCATCCCAAAGAAAGGTGACCCAACAGAATGTGGAAACTACAGAACAATGTCATTGATTTCACATACAAGCAAGATTTTACTGAAGATTATCCAAAAACGACTGGAACAGCACATCAGAGAACTACCAGAAGTCCAGGCTGGGTTTAGAAGGGGTGGTGGTACTAGAGATATTGTAGCTGATGTTAGATGGCTCTTGGCTGAAAGCAGGGAATACCAGCGGAATGTCTACCTGTGTTTCATTGACTATGCAAAGGCATTTGACTGTGTAGGTCATAACAAACTATGGTACATGAGACTGAATGAATTATTGTGAGCCCTGTTGTGCTGTGGCAGTTAAATCTCAGCCACAAATCAGAAGTTCAATAGCTTAAACGCAACAGCTGTTGCTCCATCAAGAAAGAGGTGGCAATCTGCTCCAGTCAAGAGTATAGCCTTGGAAATTCTATTGGCAGCTCAATTTTGTCGTACAGGTTCACTATGAGTAAGGATAAACTTGAGAGCAATGGGCTTGGGTAGGAAAAGAAATTATTAGTCTCTAAAGATGAGCTGACTTCATTAGCTGCATCATATCATGAAACGAACGGAAAACCTGCTGAACCAGCTTTTCTGCATCAGTCTCGGCAGAAGATTTCCAGGCTGTACAGGACACAGCAAACCTAGAAAACATAAATAATAAATAATAATTATTACATGCTATGCAAAAATTCAACAAGAGGCTCCAAATGGTAATGGTGACCTCTTTCCAACATTCATATATGAAATGTCAAGTATTGCTGATACCAGGTTAATGTAATCTAAATACAGGTAAAGTCAGATTTACAGAAAATCTAATTTACTTTGTGACTAGAATCTGAAGACAAAAGGGAACAAAATTATAGCCAGAGGCCAAGAACACTCTGGAGTAAGGACTTCCTGTACTTTAAAAAAAAACCAGAAACCCAACCTTAAAACCAAAAATAATCCCAATTGAATTCATGACACTGACTGCAATGAAATTTAAGCTATTTTTAAGAGCAAGAGTTTTGAGCTTGGAAAGACATAATTAAGATGGAGGAGGATGGAAAAGGGAAAGGAAAAGATGTTTCTAGAAAAGTTAAAAACTCTTGCAGCCAAGTCACCTTCCACCATCTCCTCCCAGTTGAACCCCTTTGGCAGGTGGCTTTTCGGCAGCTCCAGAAAACTGGAGCAAACAGGAGACGATCTCAAATAGAAGAACTGAGGTTACCAACACTTTGGGAACCAGCTTTTCTTTTCCAAACATTCAGAATTTTCTATAGAGATGTATGCCTGAGTTCCAATTAAAATCACAACGTGCACTCAGAAGCTTGGAGGCAACCATGTAATTTCTACATCATTTAAAAGGACAATAAATTATGTCTTCAATGGACCAAGCAGAATAAAATAACACTGTGGCCACTACATAATTGTGAA